GTCGAGGGAAACTACTTCACTGTTCTGGCGTACCGATACACGAATGTCTTATCGGCGCAGCTCATTAACTTTTGGGCTATTGTCTGCGTTGTTGTCATCTCGTTCTTTCTGCTCAAGGTTCGGTACAGAATCTTTCAGATCATTGGTATTGTGGTTTGCTGTGGTGGCATGGGTATTCTCATTGCCAGTGATCACATCAGCGGTACCAATGGCGGCAGCGGCCTTGATATGGTCAAGGGTGATTTGTTTGCTCTGCTTGGTGCCACTCTCTACGGTACTACCAATGTATTCGAGGAGTGGCTAGTGTCCAGGGCTCACTTGTACCACGTCCTGTCTTTCCTGGGCCTGTTTGGTATGTGTATCAACGGTGTCCAGGCTGCCATCTTTGACCGAAACTCTTTCGATAACGCAACCTGGAACGGTAAGGTTATCGGCTGGATCATCGGTTACACTCTGTGCTTGAACATCTTCTACATCCTCGTACCCGTCATGCTCCGCATGGGAAGTGCGGCTTTCCTCAACATCTCTCTGTTGACTGCCAACTTCTGGGGTGTCATCATCGGTATTCGTGTCTTTGGGTACAAGATCCACTTCTTGTACCCTATTGCCTTTGTTCTTATCATCATTGGTCAGCTCGTGTACTTTGTTACCGGTAGCATGCTCAGTGATTCTAAGAAACCTTGGCTGGGCGATAACCAGGAGGATGGTGTTTTGGGTTTCGGAACTGCCAAGCTCAAGGCTCTCAACGCTGCGCGTAAGGCTCAGATGGAGGCTGAGGATGGACAGCGAGATACCTACCGCTAAGTTCAAGTGTGGTTTGGGCAGATGTCGAAGGTGAGATATTGAGTTCAATCTGGGATTGCATTCTTGGATAGATACCCGGTATGGTTAGCCGAATAGTAGATTTAAGAGACCATGGCTGCAATTGAAAGACGAACAGTCTACAAATAATGAATAATTTCATCTAAACTACCAGTCTCTGGGATTGAAACTTAGGGCATTTATCCTAAGGGATGAAAATACTTCGGCAAGTTTAGGATGTTTCAGTAAGACTTTGACCAGTTAAATCATTTTATTACCTAGGACAATGGCAGTTGGGAGACCATGGTGGAAGTTGGAAGACGAAACAGCCAGATAGATAATACACAATTTTATCTTTCTAAACTTTGAAAGGTTCCAAGTTTTGTCTCATCTCTCGTCGCCAATCACCAAATTTCCTGTCCTTTGATACCCCTGCCGCAGGCAATGACGAAGTGATGTCGATGGTAATCAACCACGACTACAAGTTCTCGTGTCTGGTATATTTAGGTCGGAAATCAACCAGACCGACGCTCTGCACCGCAAGTTCTATCTCGTCCTGGGTTGGCTTCAGTCTTCCCTGGATGCTACAGGGGTGATGGTGATGGCCGTCGCTTTTGTCAAAATACAAATCCTCAGAGTGAGGGATTCTTGGATAATAGAAATCGTGGATTGTGTCCAGTATATTGTTCAGACTGTGCCCATCAAAGGGAGCAACCAGAGGTGGATCGGAGCGCGCGAGTTGACGCTTTTCTCGGATCAATATACCGAGGTTAATGGCACTGCAGTCAGGGTCGTCCTGTTCTTCGCAGCCTTCTTCTTCGGTCATTTTTTCTTGAAGAAAGTCAAGAGATTCCAAGACTTTCTTTATCAGGGTCTGTCTGATGTCGTCGAGTTTAGCTGCCAAGGGATATCAGATCAGCCATAATACGTGGATTCGAGTTGTGGAAGAACCTACTAAGAATACCGCTGACAGGAAGATCATGAGTATTGAGGCTGGACATCCCTTTGCCATGACGCAAAGCAGAATTTGCCAAATTTTTGGAACACATCATAATCATGGAATACCCACGAGACATACAACTGCAACGCGGTTGCATCGTTTTGCCATGGAAGCACTGCTTTATAATGGGCCCACGCCTTGTAATTAAAATGCATGGCCTCGCGACATTGATAATAGTCAACAATGGTTGCAATTCTAGCCAGTAATCCAAGCTGGATCTTTATTGGCATACCGTGGTGACGACCATGGATACTGTCCAAGACTATGGCGAGAGCAAAGGCGTCCCAGTCCTCGGCTGATATTTGCCGAAAAGGTCCAGACGACGAGTTTCCCTCTTTCCAAGGCCCTTCAAGCATAGCTCGGAATACGCGAGAAGCAAGAATCAGATGCCGGGACGAAACTCGCATGCGAACTTCGACTTCTTCTGGAGTCTGGTTTTCATCATCGAGATACAACTCGCTGAAAACTCGATATCGACCGAGGCATGGCGGGTTGACGAACTCCGGATGATCGGGCTTGCCATGGGAAGTCTGAGTAGTGTCCTTTGGCACTATCTTCTGCTTGTTCGGATTTTTGAGTACCAGCTCGATGTCACCACCTAGGTCTATATCGTAGGAGATCGACTTCATGCTGGTTGATCTGTTGGGATGCCGTGGAGAAGTCGCCCTTCTCTTCTGATCGTTGACGTTGAAAGGAAGAAAAGGATGATATCAAATCTGGTTTTTATGAATGGGATATTATGTTACCAGGCTGAGTCACTGTCAAGCAAAACGAAGCTGGCTGGCACTGCCAACTACTAAGCCAGCTAAGACCAGAGCATCGTTTGCTTCCTCATCTAGGTGGGGTACCAAAATCAGCTGGTCTAAAGTCTTACTGAGATACACTAAGTTTTACTAAATATTTTCGTCCCTTAGGATAAAGATCCTAAAGTTTGCTCCTAAAGTTTGGTAGTTTAGACAAGACCCTGATGCTGACAGCCTGGGTGAGGCAAATGCCTCTCCCTAGCTTGACACCACGGTCTTCTTACTGTGCCTCGTCTTGAAGCCATCTTTAGTGCTAAAAGAGGAAATTTTCTTTTTTTTAATCTTCATAGAGGGGGTATTCTTACGACTACCGTCCAGGGGGGCCTACATCCGGCTTGCCTTGGGGACCCTGCCGGGCCCCCCTTAAGCAGAGGCCTAGCACTGCCATTGAGTCAACCATACGATCACGGATCGAACAAGATAAGCGAGAAAACGGCCATCGGTAGAGACTGTGGGCAAGATGAATGATGAGTCGCTAGGAACCTTCCTGAATCTAAGTCTAAGTGCTACAAAAAAGTAGCAAAGTGATGGAAGTAAAGATCCAAGAGATCGAGAACACGAGAGATCGTTCTAGTTCAGTTTATAAACCATGACACCGATCATTCCCATACCTCCCGGGAATCAAACACCTCCAACATTCATATCCAGATCAAGAGTCCAGGAATTCATCTCAGCCCTGACTTCTTCAAGAACATGCCTCATTCTGCCCCTGACACTGCACACAGACACATCGTGATAGTGGTCATACCCCTCGGTCGTAGCAGCAATCGACTCAGGTATGTCGTTGACCAATTGAATCATGCTCGCGACACTGTAACTGTTGAAAGGGGGCACAAGGGGGCGGTCACTTGATGCGAGACGGTGCAGTTCTCGCTTCAAAATGCTCAGCGCGATAGAGTGGCACGTCGGGGAATTGTACTTGTGCCAGTCACAGAGAAAGTCTGAGTTTGGAAGAGTGTTGTGAAGTCTGTGAAGTTCTGTCACGATTCTTTGGATAAGTTCTTGTCGTTTTTCGTCGATCATGGCTGTTTCTCTGTTAGTGGTTTGGTCCAGAGTTGGAAGGGAAAGGGTTACTAACTCAGAACCCTGTGGATTGGAAGATTATCGGTACTCGGCTGAGGGCCTTCCATGTGTTTGAGGATAGCCCGAGTCGCTCTATCAAAAGGTTCTTGGTTGGGGAAGACCCAAGAAACAGAGAGCCACACGAGAGCCTCACGAGAGTACTCGTCCTTCAGCTCGACACAGATGTTCTTATACCAAACTTCGGAAAAGATCTTCACGGCCTCATGGAATCCATAGAAATCGACTATGGTTGCAATTTGAGCCATGAGCTTGAGATCGACGATGCGAGGCACAGCCCCATGTCGACCGTGTACGATATCTAGAACGATAGCAAAGGCCACCGCATCCCAATCCCAGGCCATGACTTGACGGAGAGGCTTTCCGAAGAAAGAAGAAGTTGTTGATACCTCGCTCCAGGGCCCATCGAGCGAGGAGCGAAAGAAACGAGAGGCTAGAATGAGATGGCGTGAAGAAACCCTCAGGCGGACTTTATCCTCGGGAGGAGTTGTGACCTTGGGAGTGCTTGGAGTTTCGATGAGGTTCAGGAGGGCACTGAATCTCCCGCGAGGCGTTGTTGTACTGGGATCTTCAGCTTCGGAAGGAAAAAGAAGATCATCAAATACGTGGTATCTTGCATCTAGCGCACCACGAGCGACTGTGGGTTCATTCATAGGATCCTCAGTATCCTCGTCATGTTCGTCGGTGGGAATACAGGGGATGAGTTGCTGACTGTTTGGCCGTTTGAGCAGAAGCTCGACATCACCGTCCGGGTCGATGATGTAGGAAATGCAGGTCATCATGAATGAGTAGTCAAGTTTTAGTGTTGTGACGAAGAATGAAGAGGAAGAATCGAAGGGGAAGAAGTAGTGTGGGCCTTGACGATATGCATCTGCCCGCCCACTAAGAGCAAGTAGAAGCAAACCGCACTGGCACATCGTTTGGACAAATACAGACAAAGGTCCAGGCTACAAACAGATTGACAATCAAAAGATATGGTTGGACAAATGTAGCTTGTGATTTTAGACAGATATCCCCAAGGTCAGACTAACTTATGCAATCAGGGGTAAGATTTAAAGATGTTCTAAATTCAGTCTCAAATTGGGAAGAAGAGCTCTGAAAGCAGACCAAAATCACAAATACTAGAGCAAACCACTTAGCGCGGCGAAATGTGAGTGAAGGAGTTACATGACAAATAAATAAACGAAAGCTAGCAAATTACGACTCCAATCCCTAGGTCCAGGCACCATTCAACTCAGCTTCTTTCAGTCCTGGGTATTCGCAAACGATTTATTCTCCTATTATTCAGTCTTTCGCACAAAAGAAGTCACAGACTACTAGTCTGGCTCCTTCTGACGCAATCCCCAGCCCTGAATCTGTGAAGGGTGAAACCTCAAGCTGTCGTTGTTGACTTGTTCCACCAGTGCCTGCATCCGACCCTGAATGGTGCACGAACATTGTCGATGATATGCGTTGGCTTCACCGGAGCGGCCTCTTCCAGAATTATTGTAGCGTGGGTGAAATTGTTTGGGTCGAGGAATCTCTTCGATCAAGCCCATCATCGTAACAACGCTGTGCCCGCAGTAAGGAGTTGTGAGAGGTTGGTAGTCTTTCTGCCATCTGACTCCCTCTCGCATCAACATACCAAGCAATGTAGATGAACAGTCGGATAAGCCTAAACCGGGGCACCCATCCTCCGTGTGGAGCGATTCTCGTAGGTCGTTGAGACCTTCCAAGAGCCTTCCGATCAGCTCCGTTCTCTTGTCGTTCAGGACATCTGAAATAGAGCGTTAGCATGTTTAACTAGAGACCGCCTAGTGTAAGCTCACCGAGAACCCCCCCAACCGGAAGGTCATTCAACTGGAATTCTGAGAGTCCTCTGCTGTTCCTCAAAGCTCTGTGTGCCTCGGCCGAGAAAATCACCTCATCCTCAAAGACCCATGCGACATAAAGACGTAGTAGTGAATTTACGGTGTACGAATCGAAGTCTTCCTCTGCAACAGACTCATCGCTGAGCCACACATCGCTAAGCAGCTCTAAGCTCTCATAGCATTGGTAGTAGTCGACGATGGTGGCGATCCGAGCCAGGAGAACGAGGTTGATACGCCTAGGGATCTTTTGTACACGCCCGTGAATTGCATCGAGGACAATCGCAAAAGCTTTGGCATCCCAGGCAGAAGTTGAAACTCGGCGGGGATTCCGCTGGGAAGAAAATGAGGTGGTGGCCTCGGCCCATGGGCCCTGAAGCATAGTACTGAAGATTTTAGAAGCAAAGGTTAGGTGCTTTGAGGAAACTCGTATTCGAACTACCTCGGGAGTCTCTTCAGCGAAGACCCAATCGGCGTATTCCTCACCATCGACAAATGTTGGAGTATCAAAGTTATCGAAGACCATGTATCGTCCTTGGAGTGCCGGATTGTAGAACTCTGTGGTGAGTGAGTCGCTGGTGGTATCTTCATCTCCAATCTAGACTTTTTGGGGAATGATGTTCTGGGTATTCGGCTCGTTCAGCACAAGTTCGATGTCGCCGTCAGGATCTATCACGTATGAAACGGACTTCATGATTATGCCTGGGATGAGGGGCGAAGAAAGGACATGAAGGAAGCTGAAGGGCGAGAAAAGAGATGAAGGAGAAGAGACTAAATAGAGATGAGAGAGAGAGGAGAAATTTTGGGGAAAAAGGCAGAAATCGCATTGGGCGTGTGTGGGAGATGGGACGAAATGGCTGCGGTTCAGCGCAACCTGTCGCTGGCAACTCAGACCTCTCACAGGTCGACACACCAAGTTCAAGTAGGCCAGAAAGGGGTATCAAATAAATCAATACCCGATAAATTTCTTTGATGAAAGACAGAGATGGCCGTTATACACACATCAAGTTCTGTAGTGCTGGTATTCAGATGACAGCCAAGTCGCCTACTCGTAATTGCAAACCGGTTATCGATACAAAAGAGGTAGTCTGCCAAGCAAATTTCATGTACTCAAATAAATAAGATATCATAGAATTACGATGCTTAATAGAAATCAGGGGTCAAGCCTTTTATAAGATTTCTAAACTGGAGCCATGATCCAGGAAAAAGAGGTCCCAGGGCAGATCAAGACTATGGAGTGCGAAGTAGTACAAACAGGGCTAAAAGAGTTTACATGATTAATACACAAGTTTTACCAAGCCCCTATTCCATTCTGGCATCGTGTTCCAGAAGATGTATTATGCATGTCATCTTGAATTTGCATCCTCCAGGACCTCTCGAAAAGCAACTCAGAATATTGTCAGACAACCGGCAAATCATCAAACTCTAATCATAAACAACTTTAGTCTTTGAAGTCGGCCGGGCGCATACGGTAAAGCTCCCTCTCGACCTTCTCAACCACTGGTGTCATTCTCCCTCTGATGCTGCAAGGGTAGGTTCTGCCATCGTAGGGGTCGATATGCCTGGGAGCATCTGTTCCGGACTTGTCATGTAGCGGAATCGGCTCAATGCACTCTTTCACTAGCTTCAAAGCTGTGGCGACACTGTACCCATCGAAGGGGGCGATGAAAGGGGGCTCGGCATGTTCATATTGGTATACCATGCGACCTAACACACCAAGCGTGAGCGACGAGCAAAGACGGTCGCCTCGGACACATCCTGATTCTTGGAGGAGTGAGTTGTGTACGTCTTGAAGACCGTCCTTGATCTGTTCGATGACATCGAGTCTCTTTTCGCTGAGCTTTCCTTCTCATCCGTTAGCTGTGCTCCGCAGTCATGTGTACTTTATCAACTTACTGAGAGTGGTTGTGATTGGAAGCATTCGAGCAGTGATTTGAGCAGAGCCTTTGAAGTCCGTTACAACCATACGAGCCATGGATGCGAAGACGCCCTCCTGTCCCGGAAAGACCATGCAGATGTACAACCATAGGAGAGTTGTCTTGCAGAGAGTTGTAGGAAAGCCACCTTGGCGGATTATATCTCTCTGCCAATAGCCAAAGAAGATGTGAATGACCTCCTGGAATTTATAGTAGTCAACTACGGTTGCAATGCGGGCAAGGAGTCCGAGGTTGATGACTCAAGGAATCTCTGCGTGACGCCCATGGATGGCATCAAGCACGATGGCAAGGGCCATAGCATCCCAGCCGATAGTGTGGACCCTGGTAAAACGTCGAATAGGAGAAGAAAAAAAAACAGAACATTGAGCAAAATCATCTTTTTTGTTCGAAGCGAGTAGTAGATCGCGGAATGTGCTGGAAACAAAGGACAGGTGCTTCGACGAGAGGCGCATACGGACTTCCCGCGGCCCATGATCCTCTCCAACCTTCTGAGCATCATGAGGGGTCGTCTGCTTGGTGTAGAGCTCGTCGAAAATGGTGTAACGACCAGTTGCAGGCGGGTTATCGAAGTCGGAATCGGGCAGATCAGTGTGAGTTGAGTAATCATCGGAGTGGATTTTGGGGATGATCAGGTGAGAATTTGGCTCTCTCAGAACGAGCTCGACATCGCCGTCTGGGTCGATCACATATGAGATGGTCTTCATGATGACTTGATTTCTGAGGGTGGTGAGATTGTAAAGGGTGAGGGTTGAAGGAGGAAGAAGCGAGCCGGGCATGAGAGGAGAGAGAGAGGCTTGCTGTGGAAAAAGAGAAACCCCACGCGAGGCGGGAATCTTCAGAATTCTACAGACTGATTCGGCTTCTGATGCCTCGAGGGCTGCCCACTGCCTGTCACTGACAAGGGAACTCATTCAGATCAAGAAACCAGACAACAGGAACGAGACGACAGCATGCAAGACGATTAGTGTCTGTTTGTTCTATCACAACTATTCATATTTAAGTGGAACATGAAGTTTTTAATGTTCCAAATGGCGACCAAATCATCCGCTTTTGTTCTGAACCCATATGCATGTAAAGCTACCAATCTAACTAGGTCGTCTAGAATAATCCTCAAAGCCCAAGAGTGATTGATGATATGGCCAACATACGAGAAGCTCCATCCTCAGTTCACTTGTCCTGTAGATCCGAAATCTTGAATCTCCTGATCTCCTCCCAAGTCTCCTTTAGGAATGGTTTCATCATTGCCGCAATGTTGCAGGTGTGGGGGGTATCAGACCTCTTCCTCTTGATGGAACCCAATTCTATCGTACAAACGACAAGGGTCTCTTTGATGAAGTCATTGACGGAGTAGTTCGTGTATGGGCTGGGATGTGTAAAATTGAGGAGGGCCGACGCATGCCTTCTGCGCATCAATGATCCCAACAACATGGACGAGCATTCGTTGTTGCAACCGGCTCGACCATTCAGTAGATCCTCAGCCACCTCGTCTAACCGTGTCATAATTTTGGCGATGTACTCTTGTCTTTTCTTGTCGAACTTGCCTGGATAATTGTTAGCATTATGCTATGAAACAACTTGCGATACTGACCAAGAATGGAGGTGACCGGAAGCTCGTCTGACTTGATATGAGATAGACCCTGGCCATGCGCGATGATGAAGGATGCCAACTGAGATGAAACACCTTCCCAGCCAAAGGCCCAAGAAATAAACAACCATGAGATGCATCCCTTTCCGTATTTGACCGGAAATTCATACACTTTTTGCCTCCAGACTTCTCCGGCAAGTTGCATTGCTCTCTGGCAGTGGTAGTAATCAACTACACCGGCAATTTCGACAAGGAAGTCGACACTGACTTCTCGAGGGACTTGGTCGTTGATCCCATGGATGACATTAAGTACCACTAGAAGTGCGTCGGCATCCCAGCTGTGAGCAGTGACCTCGCGAGGGCGAACAGCTGAGTTGTTACCCAAAGACGCGGGCGTAGACGACGAATTCAGAGAATTTGACTCGCTCCAGGGGCCGTCCAACATCTTCGCAAACACAGGAGACGCCATTTTCATGTGGTGCGATGAAACTCTGAATCGGACTTTATGAACAAGTACTGGTTTTCGTTTTTGCGAGTTCGCGATATTTTCTCTGGTGAGGACGCTTACCTGGGTCGTCAACAGCCTGGAGTATGGATTTCACTTTCGGCACGTTGAAAATATCCCAATCACGGATGAAGTAAGATATACCAGACCAACACTTCTTTATGTATACCTTTGGAATTAAGTTGGTAGAGTTAGGCATTCCCAGAACCACGACAAGATCCCCTTGAGGATCGACGTCGTGTGTGAGAACGACCATGGTTGAGGTTGAGTGAGTTTGATGATAAGCAGAGAAACTCAAGATAAAGAAGGGAGCTCTGAGTGAAGGAGAAGAGAGTGAAGGAGAAGAGAGAAGAGAGAAGAGAGAAAAGAGAGGCAAAAGCAAGTGGACCTGAATCCAGGCTAGGTGATTCAGTGAAAAAAAGTTCTAAAGGAGTGAAGCCTGCGAGTGCTAGATACCAGGACTAAGAGCTCACAGCATTCTTGCGACAACAGAAGCGAACGAAGAACCATGTACTTTCATGTACCTTTCCTCCAGCCTACCATAGATATCCATGTGCCACTAGTTACCAGACAATCCTGAATTTCTTAGACCTTCTTAGCTTGGATGGCGGAGAAGTTGATCTTGCTGAACTCAGCGACAATCTCATCGAAAGTTGGCTGAATCAGCTTTCTGAGACTGCAGTCCCGGGGATGACCTCGCTTCCTTTCAGAAGAGTCGCAACAATCGGGTGAATCAATATCCTCCCAAATCTCAGCAACATGCGAGATAGAGATACCATCGTATGGTAAGCCAGAGGCCATAAGGCGCTTGTGCATTTCGTGCTCAGCAGCATCAATTGCACCGAGCAATATACACCTGCATTTGTGATTACAACCCACGCGTAATTCAAGGAGTTCGTCTCGTAGTGTAGCGAGTCTGGCAGTGAAGAACTCGAATGACCATTTTCTCTTTCCCTCCAACTTTTCTAAAGTTACTGTCAGCGCTCTTCACGAAAACTGTCTGTATGCGATCACATACCAAGGAGAATCGCAACGGGAAGATCGTGGGTATCAATAAGATCCATTCCCTGGCTATGATACACTTCTCTGTAGGCTGCTTTACCAAATTCAGATGGCCAAGTGAAAACCCAAGCAATCCATAGCCACATGACCGACGCTTTTCCTTCCATAGGAAACCTATCACCTTTAGACGCGAGGATGTCGTTTTTCCAGAGATTTGCAGCGATAGCAACAGCGTCAGCGCACTCATAATAGTCAACAATGACAGCGACGTCCATAAAAAAGCTGAGACTGACGACCTCTGGCACTTAACGGTTGCAACCATGTATGATCCTGAGTACTGTGGCGAACGCGTGGACATCCCATCCTGTTGTTGAGATCTCACGCACGGCAGATGCTTCTGCGGCTTCTGCTGAGGTCTCTGGTGTTGTCTCGGGTAGACTTGTTCTAGCTGCCGCTGATTCCTTCCAGGGACCATTGAGCATTCTTCTGAACATTGGAGAAGCAAGAGTCAAATGATGAGAAGAGACTCGAAATCGATATTTCAAGTCCTTGTCTGTATCGTTGTCTTAGACTTTGCTCCTGCTGGTGAGGATGATCTTACCTTGGTCCTTGGGGAGCTCAAGACCCGAACTCGTCTCTGGAAGGTTCACAGCACGGGTATCAGGCCCGAACGTGGGAGTCTCTGAGGTCAACAAGCGGAAAATGACGCTTGGAATAGTACGCATCGTGTTGGCTTTCTCTAGGACAATGTAGAGGTCTCCATCGGGGGCGATGTCGTGAGTAAAGGGCGCCATGATGTTGTGGTGTTTCTGGAGGGAAAGAAGCCCGCAATGAATGAAAGGCTTCTTGGAAGAGAAGAAGTAAGAGCAAAGTAGAGAGAAGTGTCGAGAAAGAGCTTACAAAGGCTAGGCGTCTCTGAGGGTGTGTGTCAGGTGTCAGGGTGGAGGCCTGCATCTGCCAGGCACTGTCAAAACAGATGCATCACCAAGCCAAAAGCTCGAGGAACCTCTTCTTATGGCAAGGTCTTCCTATAGTATATGACTGACCAACACCTCCCGCAAGCTATACTGAGACCTAACCATCCTTAGAGTTATAGAAGTAAACATTATATATAATACGCTAGGCTTATTGCCAGTTGAGATGTAAGAGGTGACTGAATCTATCTATCGAGATTAAAAGAACTTATATAGTCTAACCAAACTTCTAGAAGGTTCCTCATGTTTGCTCTATAGGCAAGCTGTATCTCAATAAGCATACAAATATAACAAACAAATACAGCAAATAGCAAACAGAGGAGGAAACAGGTCCATCTAAAAGATAATTCATCTGAAGAGCAACGACTGAATTAGGAACAACGAGATACTATCTCACCACAAATCCTCAACACAACGTATACAACCCCCAGACTCAAGCACCATTCTCATATTATCAGGACTGAAAGTAGCTCAACTCAATATCCTCAATTTCCCCCTCGACTCCCTCGATGACCGGCCTCAGCCTTGCATACACAGTGCAGTTCTGGCCATGATTCGCATCAGGACACGCAGCTGCCATCCGAGGAAAGTCACCCAGTACTTCCATGACTTGCCGTATACTGAGCCCGTTGTACGGTTCCTCAACATTTCGAAACGTTCGCTTTCCCCGTATCAACGCACCAAGTGCCATAGCAGTACATTGCACATACCCAGCCTCTGGACAACCACGTTCGGTGGAGAGGGTCTGCTCCAGGTTCTCGAGGGCTGTAAAGACCTTCTTTATCAAGACGATTCTCATCCCGTCAATTTTATCTAGTAACTGTCAATCAAATGAACGTAGTAGTACGTTTGGTGCAAACCAACCAAGGACTTCAGTCAAGGGAAGATCGCGCAAGATGACCGTATCAGGGCCTCTGTAATGTGAAAGGACCAATTGCGCGCAATGCGAAAACTCCTTTCCCCAGGAAAACACCCACGAGTTAAACAACCACAATATACAATTGCTGTTAAAGCAAGTCACAGTGTCTTGTTCCAAAGTCGAGAGCCAGAACGCGGACAAGAGTTGCACCGCTTCGGTGCATTTAAGATGGTGGACAATAGAAGCAACTTGGGTAAGGAACTCGAAATTGACATTCCGGGGGATTTGGGCGTTTCGGCCGTGAATGACGTTCAACACGGTGGCCAAAGCCTTTGCGTCCCATCCCGTGAGGTATATCTCGTTGGCCTCTGCAGACTGCTGCAGTAAAGAGGACAAGACTGGAGATGCGAGAGACAGATGGTGGCTGGAAACGCGCATTCGAATCTGGACTTCCTTGTCATCCCGCCGAGGAGTGCTTGTCCCATAGAACAAGGTGTTCAGATCCCTCATCTTGACGGAGAAGTCATCCTACTCCTGTTCCTCCTCCTCTTCGCCCTTCTTCACTTTCACGGACTTGACATTGCGTTGTTGTGGCGTTGGCTGAGTTTGTATGGGCGTTGTTAGTGTGGGGCTGGTGCGTTGGGTATCAGGGTCTTGGAGAATGACCTCAATCGCGCCCTGAGGGTCGATCTCGTAAGTGACGCATCTCATGGCGCACGGTAGAGAACAGAGATTGATTGGGACAGTGTTGAGAAGAGGAGAAAGATGCACATGTATTCATTGACTTATTCCCGAGGCTTGGCCCTCTCTGAATCCGGCCAATGGGCTTGCTTTCTTTACTTTATGCCTGGACCTCATATGATGCTATCACCATCTATGAAGCTTCATATATTCCAGCCTGAGCAGATTGTATCAGTACATATACTTTATATCCACATTATTTGTATGATAGCCCAGGCCCTGGGCTGATAGAGAGGTGCCCAATTGGGACGTTGACTCCATGAATGTCGTGAAAACGAAATGGGACACAGGCCCCTTCATCACATCTCTTGGTTTACCTTCAGTCTATCAACCCACCGTCACTCTCCAATATGAGTGCACAATCCACCGCAGGGGACAACTTTTATCAGCCGCTTTCGGATTCTGACGACGAGCTCATAATGATGGATGACATGCCAAAGACCGCCACGAAATTGAAATGGAAAAGATGATGGAGAGGGAACGCGAAACAGAGGAGTGGATGAATGCCCTAGCGGAGCGCATACTTGGGAAAGTCGACATGCAGAAGATCAAGATCGATCCTCTCACCGGGGAAATAGTTGGTCTCCGTGAGGCTGTGGACTACTACTAAAATTTGGTAAACCCTCGCCCTCAGGCGAAAACCCAGACACCTCAAGTTCTCCAAACCAGTCAGTCCCTCAATCTTCTCAGATACCCGAGTGTCATCATATTGCGCTGAACGTCTTTGGCATGAGGGCATCCTTCTTCAACAAGAAGCAAGCTTCCCAGCTAATTTAACTTTCGGAGGATGTTCTTGATCTTGCTGCGTCTCATATTATCAAACTTCTCTAGTCTTCTTGTTAGAGGAATGGTGGTACATCAATGGAAGGTATCAGCTTACCGACGAGCCCTTGTAGAGGGAAGCCATTCAACTCAACCGCTTAGGCCTTGATAGCTCATTGCAAACATTCTTCTGGTTGACTTGGACAACTTTTGTAAATAAAACACCCACCGAACATACAACCACATCAGGGTGGTGCTATCCAACTTATTGACGGCCTTATGGTCGTCAAGGTTGGCGCACCAAACCCTGCCTACCTGCCATATGGAGTATCTCGGTAGACTCCATGCGATCTGCTATGACCGCAATCTTCACCAAGAGACCGAGGTCAATATGGCAGGGCATATACTGGTACTGCCCGTGGATGGCGTTGACTACAATGGCCAGCGCTACTGCGTCCCAACCATAGTCTGATGCTTCCAGGAGATATCCGACTGCCGGGCGCCGATATCTAGAGTCGCAAAAAGCCAGGAGAAGATCTTTGTCTACATGGATCTCGATCTGCAAGCCCTTCTTGTCGTGCTCTTCCGGATATTCTTTGCCGAAGAGAAGGCGATTCCAGCCGCGCGCAGTTCCCGTTTCGTTATCCTCTATCACAGGAGAGAGCTCTGACTCTACCTCTGACTCCGTCACAGATCGGGCCACTCCAGAGTCAGAGGGCAGTGCATCCGGAACATGCTCTTCGTTCTTTATGTTCTCTTTCTCAACTGCTGGGTCTTCGTCGTCGTCGACTTCTTCTCTTTCATCCTCAGATTTAGATTGTAAAAGGATTCTTCGAAAGGTTCAGGCAAAACTTGTCAGGGCGAGAGAAAATCCGATAATATGCTTGAACCCGAAAACAAGGCTGCCAACAAACAACGTATATGCATGGCTGTTGTACATATCACATGCAACGACTCGACCAATAATCCATCGTTATTTGCGGAAGATTAAGTGAGACCTGCATATATCTGGTGGATCGCGGGCAATGGCACTGCGCATCCTGGGGGAGGAAAGAAAACACAGGACCTCGATCCTAGATGACAAAAAGGATCTAGGTAATATATCCGAAGCTTCGGTTGACTTTTGCTAAGTTTATTTGGACACCCCACACTAAGGTTCGCTGTTTTCTAGCCCCCTTAGGGGATCTTCAGCAAGAGAATCATGTTCGACAAAGACGGAAGAGATAATATGATAGGACTTTGTGTTAAAATTGATCAAACGAAATCTATAATAATAAACCAACATCTACGAACCAGTGACCTTGATCGTAGAAGCCACACTCGGCACTCCATTCTTATCCATGACAAACAACATCCAATATCCCGGCAGCGCAACACCAGGATCACTAGGCACCTGGAAAGAATACGAATTCTTCCCCGCGTTAGCCAGCGTCAACGGAATACGGCGCTGGTCAGTGTTAACAGTGTGCGTAGCCGTTCCGTACCGCACCAGTGAAGCCTGCGCGATAGCTCCCCCCGTTTGAACAGTGACTGTTCCTCCGACCTTGATGGAAGACACAGACACGGAGGTGATCTTGGGGCGTATTGCCAACTTGCCCTTTGCGTCGTAGAGATAGGGGGGAGTGTAGAGTTGAGCGTCGAAGTGGTTGGTGTCACATCCGCCGCAGAGACCACCACCGCCGTTGAAGACTCTCCCGTCGGGGAGGAGGAGGGCGATGCTGTGATATGTCCTCACGATGTTGTTGGGCTTCATGAGCCCAAAGCCGTCCTTTTCGGGATAGTACATCTCAGGTTGCAGCTGGGGCGTCGAGTCTTCAAACGGGATGGCATATTCCTGACCACCCGTGATAAAGACGTTGCCGTTGGGCAGAACAACAGAACTGTGGAAGACACGAGGGAAGAAGAGACCCTCACTCGCGTACGCAACAGAAACGTTTGTACCAGGGTTTCCGACAGTGATGATGTGAGCATCCGTAGTAGCATCCGAGTCTTGATAATTCGGAGTTCCACCGTGAGTCAGGATCTTGCCCTTGACGGCGTCGAACATGATGGCGTTGCCACACATAGCATCAGGCGCAACACCACGATCAGAAGCCCTCTGCCCCGCAGTCTTGACATCGCCGTTCTTCTTCTCAGTGTAGTACCAGTTCATATTCTTACTCGGCCCAGCCTGAAACACAGTGCCGCTCTTCCAACCAAACAGCCAGGCATGGTTATCAGAGCGGAACAAGCCCTGCGCATCATCCGTGAGCATCTTCTGCACATCGGCCTTGTTGAGCAGCGTCCAGGTCTTCTTCTTCGGGTCGTACACCTCGCCGTTCTTGAAGGACGAGCCGCCGCTCCAGGATCCGCCGATGGTGAAGACTTTGCCCGTGGATGTCGTGGCGGAGGATTGATACCCGCGTGCAACTTGCATGTTGGGGCCGGATACCCACGTTTGCTGCACGGGATCGAAGAGGCTTGTGCGCTCGGCGTTGTTACCGCCTGTTACGACGAGTTGGCCGTTCCCGTCGAGGGAAATGCCCGGGCAGAACATGTCGTGGTTTGTCTCTGTGACTTGACGCTCTGCGACTTGGCCGGTTGCCGGGTCCCATGTTGAAGTGAGGGTCAAACCACCGGGGCCACCGGACATGGTATCCCTAGCCCAGGATGACCAGACGAGGACTTTGCCCGTGTTGGGGTCAACGGTTCCGGCGACGGGGATGATGGGGAAGTTGATGGTAGGACCCCAAGCGCCTTGAGATGCTTGAGGGGGGACGTAGTCGTTTGCTTGGAAGACATTGAGCTCTGCAATGCTTGTCCAAGGATTGCCATTTGCTTCACTGAGAGCAACGAGCTTGACAAATCGCGCAGGCTGCGTATCGAAATTGGCATACTTGACAGTCGAGTCACTATACCAGTTCCCATACGCCACAGGCGAACCCCAAGTCTTGCCATCCTTGCTCAAGAATACTTGATGCTGCGCAATGTACCCATTCTGCGAGCCATCCTGTCTCGGCAGCATAGAAATACCATTGACGTTATAGCTCTTCTTCATATCAACAGTGATACTATGCGGCGGCGCAGGCTCACTGCCCTCCCACTGAGTATGCCACATGGTATCACCATTTCCATCGATAGCATTCTTGCAGTCATCCCCCTCGTGCACGCTATCACACGTCACTGACCACTTTTTGCGGTCGATCGCGGCGCTGTTGAAGGGCGCGGCTGCACGGAGACTCAGTATGTGTTCTTTTGCATCTCTCTTGAGGAGGGAGGAGGAGGAGGAGGAGGAGGAGGAAAGGGGACGGACCTTTTCTGCGTTGAGTTGGGGACGGGGCTTCACGCGGGAGCTGAATTTGTTATTGAGGGTGCTGGCTTTGGGGGGGATGGCTTGGACGTAGCCCTTGTTGAGCTTGGGGATGTCGAAGGAGGGATTGTAGCCGGGGCCGTTTTTGCCGCCGCCTTTGGTGCTGTCTGCATCAAAGGTTTTGCCTGATTGGTGGGTGATAAAGGATTTCTTGGACGGCTTGGACTCCTTCTTGGAGGTCTTCTTTGAGGCCTTCTTGGCGTTGGCCTTGGAATCCTCGACCTTGGCTTGTGACTTGCCAGCATCGTCGTCGCCAGTGTGCTTTCCAGAGTTTCCCTTTTTGGAAGACGTAGTAGCAGTTGGTGATGCTGATGATCGAGTCTTGGAGTCATCAACTCTGGTGCGAGACTTGGTAGCATCATCATCTCCGTTATGTCTGTCACCATCATCTTTGCCCTTCCCCTTGCCCTTTCCTTTTCCCTTGCCTTTGCCTTTGTCATCACCCGTAGGCGAGCTTGTAGGGGCTGCTGTGCTTGTAGCAGTAACAGACACTGAATCTGTTGCACTGCTGGAAGATGTCTTTGGTGAATCCTCAGGCTTCTTACGAGACTTTGTAGCGTCGTCATCGCCGCTGTGTCGTCCCTTGTCATCTTTGCCTTTGTTCTTATCCTTGCCCTTTTTCTTGTGTCCGCCAGAGCTGGAGTCGTCGTCTCCTCCATGTTTGGCTACACTCGCAGTATCCTTCGACTTTGACTTGGCCTTGGGAGCAACTTCTGGCTTGTCGACAGGAGCTGGGCCGAAGCGGACATAAGTGGGTTGCATGAATGGTTCGGCATATACCACCTCTTGAACATCATCTGAAGAGTCTGAGGGCGTCTCGTCAGATGGACTTGATGGAGTGGCATCAGATGGCTCCGTAGGCGTATAATCAGAGTCATCTGTAGACTCATCATCAGAGCCATAAGTCTGCTCGATTCGCTCGACTCTTCGCGACAAAGCAGAAGCTGGGAATCCACTCTTCGGCTTTGCGTTTCCAAATACAGGGAGTACAGAATTCAGATTTGTCTTTGATGATCCTGCTAGAGTCTTTGAAGTATCCGTTGTGTCATCTGAATCAGGTCGAGGAAGTGCATAGCCACCCTTGGGAGCTGAGAAGACGGGGAGCACCACAGCATCTGCTACGCCCAGGCATAACGAAAAGGCATAAACGACCTTCATTTTGTGTGACCGTAAAAAAAAAAGGAGTGAATGAGTTGGTGACAATGCTTTGTCTGGGTGGGATTCTGTCAAAGGGGGAACAAAGAGCAGAACAAGAAACTTACACGACATTGTCAAAACATTTTATAAAAGAAGCCTCACGTACGAGTGTAAAGTGTATTAGTGAAGCTATACCAAATGCAGGAACATATAGAACCGTCGGGACCTTGCAGGAGGCTAAACCTTGCCAAGAACGTGGTGGTTCCAGGAACCCGGAGGAATGTAACTGTCTCCATTCTCACGGCCTCGACCATTGCATGTCATTCCTATCACAGAATGACTTAAACCAGGATCGGCAAGTGTCTCGGGCGAGGAAAGCTTAACTATATGCTTGGGACCCCGTGTTATTCTATCGTTTTAGCTTTATCCATGTTCTCGGTCTCAGATTTCCAGGTTCTACCCGAATACTTCAACGCTTTTTGTATAGTTCACTGTCTAGAGCTTCTAGACGCCAGGTCGGCCGCCAGACTCGATTGCTCAATTTCGAAGTGGTAATAGTTGCATTCTTGAGCATTGGGCTTTGGCAAATGGAATGAGGTGGACTTCTCTGTCGTGAAGGGTCCAAACCGCCGGTAAGCGATCTACGCAATATTTCGCCTCTACTATACTGTTTTATCCAACGATGATCATCCAATTTATACCAATAATGGTTTATTCCCATGGTATTATGCAGAGTCCAACGGTGATACCGAATAATTGGTATGATGGGCGATGGCTTCGTCCCGTGAGCGTTCCTAATGTTGGGGGGACAGCATGGAAGCTTGAATGCCGGCTGCCAAATGCGCATAACTCTGTGTATACATCCTGTTTTCGTGTCATATTCATATTTTTAGGTCTGCAAACCTCTCCCAACTATTGGATGCTCAAGATCTATCATGTGCTGTTGAATCGCATAGATATGCAACCATCACTTCTCTTGCTATCCAGAACCACAGCTCCATGTTCTTAGAGCTCGAGCTCTAATAGAGGAACAAGCTCAACTAAAAGCAGCTGCTAACTTTGTAGCTTCGTCAACGACTCCCTTTGAGTGGACAACACAATCGAATGAAGGCATTAGACGCTATCAGATCCCACAAGCAGATGACAGGTTTCCCCTTAGCCCCGGGACTAGCCATCAGCTAACTAGCATGCTTTCATCAGCTTGACAGCTTCTATTCCCAATGCGATAGGTTAAGCGTCCGAGCGTTGGTAAGGCCAACACCGGGCTTGATACCAGGCTGCTGGACTGGAGAGCTACTGGATATAACATAACGAGAACACGCGCGCGCTCCGGGGAACCCAGTCCAGGCGAAGGGGACGTGCATAAGCTCTTAACCCAATGTGAGCCACAAGGCACTCTGGAGCTAGAAAGAAGATGTTATTGAGAGTCATGTTTGAGGGTCCAGCTTTTCTTCAACGAATCGTGAAAGCCACCGGGTGACTCTTGGCTGTCCTCGTCGAATGGGCTCACTTACACGAAGCCATAACGAAAGACAATACATGATCATAGCATTCCAGGCTTGATTACGTTACTCAAGGTGACTGCATTGAATCTTTATTCGTCACAGCCCTCTCTATGACTTTCCTCCATCAGCCAGGTAAGATCATAGCCCGGCAGATATACCCTTGAACATCTGACTGAGAGTTACCCTTCAGATCCATCAAAGAATCTTGAGTGATTGAGACGTCTCCATTACCTACTCCATCCCCTCTACACTGGCTGAAGTAAGCATGAGGTCTTCAGGCCAGCCTCCTTTCCTGCTGACTCGCCATCAACTTTGGCATAAGGCTGTAAGCCTCAAACTTCCACGCCATTATTGTCCTTCTAGCCAATGAACTCATAAAGTACACATCACCACAAGTGACTAGGCTGGTATGCATCTTGATATGTGGAACACATACGGAGCTTTCATTAAACCCCGAAGCTATATCAATCTCTCCGTAGTGTATCTCGCCAAGAGCCTCCAAACTCCACCAACAGTCCCGTAGGCATGTCATATTTTACCAATCTCGAATACTTTCACAGATCGCCCGTGACTTAGTCAATACCACCAACGCACTCGCACTTATCATGCTCACATTCACACATGTCCTCATCCGTATCCTCCCACCCACTTCCATCCTCACCCATATCATCCTCACTAGAGACCTCAAGCCCCTCCTCCCTCATCAAATCCTTGACATGCACCGCCGCCATCATACAGTCATCCTCACAGCCGCTCTTGTACCCAAACATATTCATAAAATGCATGGTTTTCCCCCACGTTTTACTCACGAAATCTATCTGAGCAGCCGAAAATGCCCACTCGTAGTCGTCTGACTCACGGTATCCCCGGTGATGGTCAAAGTGCTGCTGGAACGGATTCTTTACCCACAGCGTGCGCAATTTGTCTCTAAAAACGACTATCATCAAATCACTGTCAGCTTTTTTTGCATACTGGGGTCCTTTTTCAGCGTAGTGTTTCTTAAAAGTCTCAAAGTGTTCGTCGGGGTCATGTCCATCGTCTTTGAGCCATTGTAGCTCTTCTTCCAACCAAGGCTTTTCGCCGATGTCAACCGAAGGGTCCCGTACCTCTCGAAGCGAAGTCTTTCACTAGCCGGCCACTTGGCTCGTATGTCGTGTCTGACCTCTGGGTGGAATGGCGACCTTTGCTTTGTCTCTCGGCCAAAGGGGGGGCCACATAATTTGACTTCGATGTGCTGCATTGGGCTTATGAGTACTCGGAAGTGTGCGACCCGGTATCCGTCTCATCCCGTATCTCCCCAGCGCAACGGTTGGTATAGTTATAGTCGACTTCAACCACGTAACCATCCTGTGTGATATTTCCGCCAATGATGTTGCAAATGTAGTCTGGCGCGAAGATGACGTTCTTTAATATGATCTCGCCGCGATTGCGCCCACCGCTTTTGTTGGGGGAGCGCTTAGTCTTGAGTTTGACAGTACCGACACCGTGGGCCCAAGAGAAGTCCTCAGGGTCCGGCTCCTCTCCACGCTTTGTTAGATCTTCTGCATTATCCCAAGGCTTATGACGTGAATGGTAAATGATGCTGCTGAAAGCCATATAATCGTCCTCAAACCATTCGCGGTCTCTAGTGATGCTTGGATGAACAATTAGCAGCCACCTACCCTGTTCCTTGCGGTATCACACTTACTGAATATTCGATTTGGGTGAATATACCCATGAGCCACAGGGTTTTTCACATCCATATGTTGGCTCTCGATGGCATGACAGATAAGGACCAAGACGACGTTCAAATTCCATACTGATTGATGTGATGAGTAAATTCGTGAGATGAATGAGTAGAAAACCGGAAAGCTCAGGGCATGGAGAGTGAATGGAATCAGCCACAGACGCAAGAGAGCCCCTTACGAAATTCGAGACCTGAAAAGGGTATGGTACTTGCCGATCATGGCACCAAAGCACAGCATCACTGAGACAAGTTTATGTCATAGGACAAGCAAAAGCAAAAGTTACCACGCGTAGTTATCATGAAAACGGTTTATTCAACGCCAAATAAGCCATGGTCGATCAATATATGTAATAATGTCAAATATACAACAGTTCAACTCCTCAAGCGCCAATGGGTATCAGCGTGCCATGCCATGCTAAGTCACTTGGGCGCCAGACCACAATACATATAACGTCCATCCAAGTATCGCTCGCTATTATATGTAGATGTTCCAAAATTGCGTATGCAAACGTATAAATGTCATGTAGATCTTTGCATCATTTACTTGAAGGATGACCGCCTTTCAGTAGCCCAACCTGTCTGTCATGTTCACTTCGTAACTGCTTTTCTCCAGTCGGTACAAGTGTCTTCTCTTCAAGCCCCGCGTCGAACGCGGGATCGCCGGCGCGGAACTTTTCGCGAATGCCTTCTATGCCTGTCGGGGATATCGGCAATGGTGACTCGGAGGCTCGGATGGCGTCTTCTGGCCAAAGAATTCGGTTTGCTTCCTCGACAGTGAGAGGAGGCTCATCAATTGTGGTTATGGGTGGTGCCGTGGTTGGAGGCGGTGGTGGGTCAAATAGGGCCTGCCGAGGGGTCGTCGGAGATCCGATGCCAGTGGATCTTGATGTGGGTGTCCCGGTCCGGGCCCGTGGTGTCCGTGCGGGGGTATCCGTGATCCGCGCAGGGTCTGACGATCCCTGGTAATCACGGCCCCTTGTGGTTGTGCTTGCGGTAGCAGCTGATCTTGGAAGGGATGGAGTCACTGAAGTTGAGTAAAGACTATCACTGTCCGAATCGGAGTCTGTGTAGTCTCCTTCTGTTTCAACGACGCTGTGAAGAGTGATACCGTCTGCAGTATCAGCTGGCGTGCGCTTCAACACTTCCGATTCAACTCTGAGAACCTTCTCTTCGTTGGTGTTAGGGCCGATCGGTATGTGACTGCGAGTCGCTGTTCGTTTCCGATCCATGCGGAGAATGTTCCTCATCAAATACAGTTCATGCTTCTTGTAGGTCTCGTAGTATGCGCGGTTGATCATGGCTGCTGTGTGAAGATCATCGATTTCATCCAGCTGGCATAAGATACGAAGACGAACAATCTCAGGGAACTCGGTAGCAACGCTGTAGTTCGGATCAGGTGCAGCCATCCGATCAAGCCCTTTGTTGAGCTGAGTTTGAGGTTCTCGTTCTCTGTGCTTCGAGAGCCCCCAACCATGGCTCTTCCCACTGATGTCAAAGAGCGTCAAGCCCAGCACACTATTATAGATATCGCTGATAGCAGAGCGGAACATGGGCCCAGGATCACACACGCCTCGATGGACGGGTGTTGGCGGTGCGGGAATCCTTCTCAAGGCATCCACGATCCGCGCCAAACTCTTCGACTGCGGCTGTGCCCTGGGCAAGTGAGACAAGACATCTGGTGCCATGATATGAGGCAGCAGGTTCATCTCATTGTAAAGTAGCATCAGCCATCCGAGGTTTGTGGCATCACACCAATGGCTGCCCTTGGGACATCTTGGTGTACTCGTCAGCATCGTCGGTGGTAAACTGTCCGAAGGAAAGCTGGCTCGTGTGTCCAATGAAAGCTCTTCCGAGCCTTCCAACGTATTGTGTGTTGGTTCCCGCATATATTCTCGGATAGTACTGACGCAACACTCATGAATTTGTGCCATCTTTGCGCAACGAACAGCCCAAATTTTATCCTTAATTTTCTGTGGCCAGGGTTTAGCTAGTAGTTCTTTCTCATCCACGAGGTTCAGAATCGTAGTTTTCGACATGCGCGAGAACAGTCGACGGAGTCCAAAAGCGTAGCTGATGACCAAGAGCCCATCAGGCATGTCGTCAGCACCCTTGTGCATCCATTGTGGCAGCCATCGATGTTCAACGATGAGTTCCAGGGGTGAAGTACTCTTGTATCGCATGCAACACTCGGCGATAGCAACGAACTGTTCGAACTCGATTTCTCGCGGAACCATTTCGTTATGCATGTGTGCTGCGTGTAATAGAATCTCCAGAGAACACAGGTGGTTCAACTCAACCTGCGGCATGCGATAAAGTTTGGCTTCGGAGCCATCCTTACAGAAGTATTTTGTTGGGGGTAGTGGGAGCAGTGTCGATATATCATCATCGTCGTAGAGATGGAGACTGCTAGAGTGCCCTGCAAACATGCGCGCGAAGATAGGTGACGTTTCTGCGAGCATGTAAGACGAGACTCGAAAACGTAGTGCTGGATCGCTGTGGTTACATCCAGGCCCATTGTTGGCGAACTCTAGTATCGCATCGCCGCGCTGTGAGATGGCAAACTCTTTGATGGTCCGGTCAGGTGAGATGCCAGACTCTCCTGTCTGTAGAAGCTGTCTGATCTCGTTCAACTCCTGCTTGATTCTCTCGTAATCGTAAAAGCGCATTTCATATTTCGGAAACTACAATTTGTCAGCCTTTGTCTCGTGCATATCTGACCAGGACCACACACGAATTGGGGATCTGCCGACATGACCCGGGTTACACTGGCATTGCGCATTCGCTGCACAGCCTCTTTTCGGAAGCGCTTATTCGTGAACAAGGCTTCCACCTGTTCCGGCGTTGCATCGCGCTCGTTGTTCTTGTAGGTCTCGATTAGACTCGTCCGGCAAGCATCGGCAAGAGACTCGAGGTAGTTCTTCCAGTCGCGCACAGAGGACAGCCAGGCATCAGTCTGATGTATGCTCTTTCCAACGCTCCCGGACACAACCTCTGCGAGACTTCTTCCACTGAAGGAACTCCTTGTGTCGTAAATCTGGCCAGGACTTTGCGGAGACTCGACGGTTGAGTCACGGCGGGGGAGGTCGCCACCATTACGAGAACCGCGACCGAGTTCTTCTGTAAGAATATGTCGACATAGCGTAGCACATTGCTCCTTGTATTTTGTAAAATCTTTGTAGGCTGAGTCGACGTGGTTAGGCGTAGTTGGAAAGTTGCGGGGCATCCGCTGAAGAATGGTCTGTAGTTGCCGGATATGAGTTTCTTGGCTTTCTAAAGGGTTCGTGGAGTGGCTATCTGGAGATCTGAGGTGAAGGTCGAGGTCGGAGGTACTAGTTTCGGGGGCATGTTGACTGATTATTTTGATCTATACCGGTTGGTCAGTATGAGTCCTCTGATCATGAACTTGACTAGCATACCCCTCGTCTCGGGATCTTGTTGATCAATGACTTCCATTGTCGGCCTCCCCCGGGTGGAGGGCCATCGCTGGAGGTTCTTGAGACCATATCGACCCTCATGGATAGATTAGAATGTTTGTCGCCGGTTGGGACGGAGCTTCGGAGGGAGCGCATCAGGCCGCGATGAGGAGCGCAGCGTCAATGCCAGCGCCTGACCACAGCATTGTAGTCACAGCGTGGCAAAGAGGTGCCTCGCTGGAGGGTGGCGTATATGGGATTTGTAACGTATTCGAGATGCGGATTAGGTCTTGAGCTGTTTCGTGTATGTAGAGTCGAAGATGTTGTTGGATCGTCCGTACAGCCGGGGTTGTCGGATCTTTGGTGCGACGTTGGTGGAGGGTTCCAGACGGCTGGAACTGGTATTGCCACGTTCAGACCAAACTCGTCTGGGAAGATTAGGCGCGCGAAGGCGTACTGGCGAGTCAAGTGAAAGCTGTATCTGTCGATCGTAACAGCGAGGTCTTGTAGTCGGTGATTTGCGTCTTCAGTTATTGTCGTCGTCTTGAGATCAGAGTCAATGCAAGGTCAAGATCGGGACCCGGGAAGTCATTGACAGAAAGTGGAGGACGCTTGGGTCTTAAAGGTGGGTTTAGGACTGTCCCTCGGCCTCTGGCTCTGCCTCTGGTCGGACGGAGTCTGGGGGCTCTGACTGACGAAACTGGGGTTGAAAACTGGGGCAATCACAACTTGGCGTCTGGGCCTTTATTAGCGGGCGCCCATAAACTCTTAGTTTCTCTTGTGCAACAGTGATGAGGAGAGGGGTCGCAAAACGAATGCGAGAGACGGTGAGAGGAGGTAAAGGAAACAAATAGTAATTTGAGTTGGAGAAGATCTGCTTCATAGGATTGGCGCAGTACGGACCGTTCCGACTGAGGCAGATGAATTGAGTTGAGCAACGGTAAGAGGCGCCTGATAGAAGAAAGTATCCATGATACGGTACTTACCTACAGAAATTACACTGTTAGCACTGATGCAATTAGCATGACATTTATGGGAATGCAATGCCTGCTTGTTCAGTGGATCTCTATCCCCAGCAAGTTTGTTGCTGCATCTGGCGCAAAGAGGTAAGATGCATTGCGGGGGAGGAGTCTCAAAAACTAACTCACTCAATCTTATCGTGGTATAGGACTAGTCAAGGACTCATCAGTGGACTGTGAGATGAATACTCTCAATTAACTTATTCACCAGTGACTGAGCTGTCTTGGAATACTCCTTAAACTCCGCCAGCTTGCCTCTTGCTATTTATAAACTCGTTTTGGCCAACTTCTAAGACTTCCATGCATAACAGCATGTGATGTGAAGGTCCACAGCCCAGGCAAGGGACTTGTTAATCATATCTGCTCATCAAAGTTCCCGTCACAGAGCAATCATAAGCCAACATAATAGATGAATACGATATTCCCTGTTTGGATTCTATTTCGGCACATTATTCTCCGTGTCAGCTTTTCAGCAGAGCAGGCATCAAAAGCTGCATGCATGAAACATGTACACACGGTACATGCATCGTATTCCAGGCAACGTTTAACGGTCAGAACCATCGATAGGCGTTGAAAGCATAACAAGCCATTTGGCAACTGCCTCATTTCATGCGATGATATCATTTCTGTAGCATAATGTGCCCGATTTATGTTGTCAGGGCTAGGTACCTACCCTTGAGGAGCATAAGACTTTACAAGAGGATGACAAAATACACTCAGTAGAGAGTCCACTAAACTAACGCTAAATTTACCTGAGTCTTTTTTGTCACTTAGGATAAAAGTCCTAAGCTTTCTGACCTGCCCTGGCTACTGCATAACACAGCAAGTTCATCTTGATGCCCTTCACATGGCGATGAGACAAGCCGCAGCTGACCCATTAATTCAGTGGACATATTTTCTTTCTCGGAACCCGATAATGAAAATCGGTCAGCAGATGACATGCTCCTGTAAGCTGTTGCTGGTCCTGCGAATTCAACAGTGAACAAAGTCTTATTCAAAGGCTAACGACCTCTTCATCGATACTAGTAATTGATGGACGGATTGAGGCATTCGATCTCACTTTCTACACTGAAGACACATCATGCCAGCATTCAGGATTTCGATTATATTTTCAAACTAGTAAGTCTTGTAAGAAATTGCCGTTTGCCAATGGCCAAGCACTCAATTGATGTCATTGTGGTTCGTAAAATCTCATTATATTCCTCCTCACCCTATACTCACTCACCCCCTCAAGCCTTCTCACCAAACACAAAAACAACTCTATCCCTCCCCTTATCACCCCAACCCTCTTCAACACCCTCAATCCTATACTTCTTCAACCCCTCATCTCCCAATCCCACAAGAACCTTCAACATTCCCTCCGTCTCAACCCCCAGCTCCCTCGGATCCCACGCGCCCGGCCCCGAGCCCCGCACCGTGACATCTCTCCTCCTCAGCCCCATCGCCGAAATATCACCAATGTCACCCGCCATAGACCCAATGTTGATCCACGTAATGGGATTCTTGGCACTAGCCGTGGTAGGACTTAACAGGAACGCATTGGGCCATGGACCGTAGAGGAAATCGAGAACAATGTCTGCGTCTGCTGCGGCAGAGAAGTCTGTGGCGTTGGGTTCTTGAAGAACAACGCTGGCGTCGAGATCGAGCTTTGACAACGCGTCTTTGTTGCGGGCTGCGCCTACGATGGTTGTAGCTCCGAGATGACGAGCTACCTTGATAGCGATCTTTCCACTGGCGCTGGTGACGCCGTTGATGAAGACCTTGTAAGGTTTGCCCTCCTTTCCAGTCCAATCAACACGCTTCCTCAACGCCATCCAGCTCGCCATGACGGGATTGACCATAGCAGCTGCGACAACAGGGTCTACGCCCTCGGGAAGCTCAACGATGTTGTGAGTTGGCGCATTGACGATCTCGGCGTAACTGCCCTGCTTTGTACCCAGCAGGGAAAAGTACACTTTCTTGCCGGTTGAGACATCAATGCCTACGCCGTCGACACCGGGAATGTGGGGGAGCTCAGTAGCGGTGTAGTGTTTTCCCGCTGCGCGTGTGCGGACGAGTTGATGAAGACCTGCAGCGAGGACCTTGATCTCTGTCTCGTTGTCGTGAACTGGAGCTGCGGGAGGGGGAACTTTGATGGACTTGGGAGGTTGACCCCATTCCGTGACTTCAGCTGAAAGCATGCTCATCGTGATAGTGTATCCGTAAATGTGTTAAGACTCTTTATCGTGAGAGTAGAGTGAGATATGAGAACAAGTGTGAGGAACACAATGACCTTGAAGTGGAATCATCCCGACGTCTTTATACTTCAACTTACACACCGGACCTACCAGACGGCAACTAACGGAACCAATGTGTCAGCACTATTTCAGCCTCTCAAAGACAACCATGGCCCTTAGTAATGAAACCCCTCTATTGATAAGCTCACGGGAGTCAACAAAATTACCGCGCGAGAAGCTGCAGAGTCTTGGATAATACATCATGTAATCGTGCTTTGCGTCTCAGATTGACGGAACTTCGGCACCGTCCCCACCGATTTTGGCGGTTATACGGAATGAAAAGGGCGATAAATCGTAGAGTAGTCCGAGTTATTATCTGATCCGGAGATCATCACCGCGGACCTCCGAGTGGAGACCGCGGGGATGGCGAATGTTTCATCATCAGTAACCTACTGACTGAACCAAAGAGTATGGGCCCAGTCTTCGCAATTCAAGAACTAATACGCATTAAAACTTTCATTTATCTCTTTTCTGTGCTTCGTTACATCTGCCCATGCTTTTTACTGACAACCATCTAAAAAAAACCGCTTGACCTCTTTGCCCATGCAGCCTGTAAGGATATGAACCGCTGTCCTGCCCCCCCTAAGATGGACTTGTCTTAAATGCAATTGCAGCTGTGTATATAAAACGCCTCCTCCCAACCGTCCATGTGTAGAAAGACGCCAACGCCTCTTCGTTTCCATGTGTGCTTGCAACCAACCAACCGACCGACCGACCAGCCATTCATCCATCCATCTTCGCCCTCAACTAGCCAGCGGATCCGGCCTTCTTGTCCTTCTGCTCTTCCATGCCGCTCCCCGACGTTGCCAATCTGTATGTCAAGTCCGCAGACCGCTGCGTTATAAATGCTATGAGTAACACCGTTGGACATCAATCGTACACTCTTGCTACATATGTCAATATCTGGAAACCATCCAGAATAATCTCCAATGTGCCAGCTCTCCCCCCCATGATTTTAGGCTTTTCAAGTCATCGCGAATCGTTGATTGCGTGTCAACATTGCAAGTTGCCTTATCCAAAATGACAAACTGCCGGTTAAGATCAAGGTCCTGCTTACAGGCTTCTCCCAAAGACACTCTTCAAGGGGACCGTCGACATGTCTCGTCACTTCTCAGATCGAGATTATCGCTTAACCGCCCTTTCGTTCCGACTCGTGCTTGGGGGGCTGCTCGCTATTTCCTTGTTGCCCGTTGTTGTTGGCGCCCTTCTTCTTTCCCTTGCCTGCTTTTTGCCAACCGCCGTCGGTTTCACTTCTAGCTCCACGAACGTGGCCGTTTTCTCGGGCTCCGTTGACCTTTTGAGAACCCGACTTCTGATTCTTCTGAGACTTTGTACCCTCTTGAGGCTCTTGAGTTCGCTCATCGGTTTTCTGGCTGGACTTTGGTCCATCTCCTCTTCCTGTCTTAGGACTGTTCTGCTTCTCTGACTTCCAAGGTCCATCCTTTCGAACAACTGTGGGAGAAGGAGTGCGGTTCTCGTAAACTGGTGAAAGATGAGCAAAATCTTGACCAACTGGTGGTCTGTTGATACGGTTCTCAGCAATGGCAAGATCAAGAGGAGCAATCATGCCATTCTGCTGACGCGACATAAGGCGTTGGCGTGTCGAAGGGGACAGTCGAGAGTTTGCTGCTACCACCGGGTCCTGTACAATATGGGGACTTGCCATGTAGTAAGCGCTCATCATCGCGATACGATCGCGAAATGATGGATCGTCTGCCGTGGATGGAGCTGCAGCCATCATTGGGGCAGCGGAGCCATTGGCCACTACAGGAACCGGGTTGTAGGCACCTTGTTGGTTCATAGCTGCTTCAGGTACAGCCTGCGGCATGACGGGTCCATCAACCGGAAAGCTGGGATCACCATTTGAGCCGTGAATCTGCAGGGGGTTCTCAAGGTTGGTCGACTCATCAGATGTAGTGCTACCTGTTCCCGAAGGTGGTTGGCGTGGGCTTTGAGTCACGCTTGTCTTGAGACTAGATCCATTAACAACCAATGGGCGCGAAAGGTTCTTGTTTTGACCCCCAGGGAAAGGGCCTTGTGCCAAAGGTGCCGATGACGCAGTGGATGAGAAATTCCGTGCATGGCCCAAAGGTGAAGGCGATCGGGATGTCCTCTTCATTCGGCGGTCGAGAATTGTCTGGGGAAGTTGATCTGTTGAGAGTCGTCGTCGCCCTGGGCTCTGACCGGAGACATCCCCAAAAGCAAGACCATTCGTCACAGCTTGTGGCTGAGGCTGCTTGCTGGGACTTGGGCTTTCTGACAAATAAACAGAATATTTGCCCTCTTCCGATTGTGGTGAGTCCGTGTGTGCCTTGGGAGTCTCGTCGAAATCTGTATCATCAGACATAAAGCTTGGAACTGGGTTGCCGTTAACACCTCGAGAATGGCTTGGACCATTGTAAGATTGGGCACCGAAATAACCGGGAGCTGCTTGTGCTGCAGACGGAGATCGGGATGCGGGCTGCGAGTGTGAACGAAGAGCACTATTGGATCCTTGGACACCTGTTTCGTTATTTATACCATTTCGCTGAAGCGGGCGACGAAAGTCTTGGGTAGCACCCGAGGTACTAGCAGGAGACGAGGGATACGTTCCATAACTTGCGCCCGCTTGGGGGAAAAAGGGCGTGCCCAAAGTCATTCCATACAGAGCATACAAATCTGGTCGAAGAGGAGCGCTGAGCGGCGGATTATCAAATGAATTTGTCCTGGAACGATCTGATGTCTGTTGAGGCTGCTGCTGGCCAGATCCTGTACTCGTAGACATCCTCTGTTGTTGCTGCTGTTGACCCATCGCTTGAGCTTGAGCTTGAGCCTGAGCCTGGGCTTGATGCTGCATAAATGCTGGTGATTGACTGGCATACAATAGTCGCATGTTCTCCTGGTGCAACGCCATTTGAGTCATAAGATCCTGCTGTGCGTACTGAAACTGGAACTGTTGGGTTTGGTACCACTGTAGATCCTGCGCCATGTTGACCGGCTGCATAAACATATTGTTGTTGTTGTTGGCGTCGAACTGTGGAACACCTGCAGATGCACGTCGATTCGAATTTCCGCCTCGGTAATTATTGTTATGTCGTCCGCCACGGTGGTTCCCACGACCTCCTCGGCCTGAATGTGTCTGCGAGGAGCTCCTAAGCAGAGCAGGTCGAGGTTGCGGTGCCGGCCGAGACCATACTCTTTCCTCCTCTTTAGGGAACACGTATTGCTCGCATGCCTCCTCGAAGTTTGCCACCGAAATCAGGTCAAATGCTCGACGTAACTCCATATGTAAACCGCGAAAAGAATAGTCATCAGCGGTGTTTCCGAGGTTACGAGAAGTATTGAACGGCTCCTCCACACAGAGCTGATTGTTGATCGCATAATGCCACTTCTTTTCGTGCTTTGTGATCAGTTTACCCTGCCGCACCGAGAGAACGTGCTTATCGTAATCAAACTCGTGAGCGTAGAAGCGAAAGAACTGAAACAAAAGCTCCGCAGTAGACGACTTGTTCTTTTTTCCATAACCAGCCAGTTTGTCAATATCGTCCGCGAAGTCGGGGGTGGTGCCGTCGGGTTTGGGTAACTTGTGTGGCGACTGATGCAATGCGGGAAGAACGGGAGGGCTGCGCAGCTGTAGGAACGCGATAATCAGGCAGATCCATGTGTAGGAACTCAATGTGCCACCAAACGCTATTAAACCGTTAGACAAGTTGAAAGGGTGCGCAAAAAAACATACCGGCATCATTGACTATTCTTCTCCGTGTCCAATACTTTATAATCATTGCAAGCTCTCGAACTCTCGGGTCAATATCGATATATGTTCGAACCATGCGTGTATTTTCGAGCGCAAGGGTATTGTTGACATTCATATCGCAGGCAAGGCCCAGTTCAGGATCCCAGATCTTGACGATGGGCACCTTAGCGGCCGAAATACAGACAACCTTCTCCATCCCCCCTGTTGATGTCAGCGAGTTGTTGACGAGTTGGGAAAAGATACATACGCTTTGCTAGGAGGTTGGCGATCATGCAGACATCCTCCAATTCGCGCCATGCGGTTGTGATGCAAATGTCCACTAGATAGGGTTAGTCTGTAAATCATGCAGATTGAGGGTGTGGGCGTACCATCAGAATCATCCGAACAAAGAAGATTCCCAGAAGACCCAAAAAGATTTACGCGGATATCATGGCCTGGCCATTCGTCGTTGAAGGTCTTTTCGAGCTTTGAGACTAATTTCTTGCGATTCTCCTCAACAGCAGCGGTGGGGAGTAATCGGTCGTAGACCTCTCTCATATCTGTCGCCAATTTTCGCTCTTCATCCTCAGCCAACTTGCTCTTGACCGTCCTCAAGTCCAGCTTTTCCAGACGATCATTGCCGACCGAATACGGTATTCTCCTCCGAGAATTTATTTGGGCAGTCTCGTATTTGCAACTCGATATTCGCGGCGGTAAAGGCTGAAGCGAGGATAACGTGCTATGTGTCTCAGAATAAGCTGATCGCGGGGAATGGTTATTTGTCCCCGTAGGCGACGGCTCGCGGTCCTCAAGTGAAAATTGACGAGCGTGCTGGTGAGGCGTCGAGGGCACTGAACTAGAGTGGGACTGAGCCGAAGGTGCGGACCGTCGGGGTAAATGCCTCGATGAGTCGGCGGCCTGCTTTGAAGACATTTTGGACGGAACCTCCTTGGAGGCGGCAACCGATCGACTCTTGTCTAAATTCTGATGTGACCTACTCCCATGGCCTCCAGCTGTGCTCCCCTTACCGGAGGCGTCTCTTAGCGACACCTTGCTAGAAGATCGCGACCGAGGCGCTGCCTGGATATGAGGAGCAGAGATGACGGGAGGGAGTGGCGGTGTCTGCAGGCCGCCGCCGCGGGATGGGGAGATGAGCTTATTGTAGTGGAGGAGTTGAGCGTGGTAAATGTTGGACTGCTGTGGGAGGAGAAAGGGGAGGAGATCGAGGTGAGAATGGAATTGTGTGGCGGACGGGTCGGGGAAGAAAGAGCCCTCAACGGCTGAAGCGCTGTGAGTACTCGTCGCCGATGGTGTCGTCGGATTCGGTGTGCTCGATGATATCGTCGAGGCAGATGTCCAAGGACTGGAAGGATAAGGATGTTGAGGTTCGGCCGTTGTGGTCTGGGCGTCCATATGGAGCAGCGAGCGAGCCCCGGGACGGTTCAAGTGATTGCGGGGACCGACGGCAGTATGCGTGACGACGTTTGGGTGCGTCTGGGCTCGTGGGGATCTCTCTTTGCTCGGTGGCGGCGAAAGCTGTGGAATATGGAAAATAGAGCAGCAGGAAAACGTCGTTGTAATTCTGAGCGCTAGAGAGGGTCTCAAGATCTCAGCATGCGATCCAATGCCGAACAAAAGTCTATCGTGAAAGCCAGGGGGCGAATCTCAATCTGGTCGCTGAGAGGCGCTGTTCCTGGGTGGGAATAGCGAGAGGCCGTGGAAATGGGAAGTTGTACGGAGCAAGAAAGTACTGTAAAACGAAGCGAAACGATAGCGTATACGACCGAAAGGCAATGGCGAACAAACAAGGGGCGCCGAGTGCGAGTGCGAGTCGAGAAAGGTGAGGAATTGCAGTTGCAGTCGGTATAACAACAATTTCCCGGGGCGCGGGATAATGATGGAAATGTAGGATTCGAGAGATGGTGAACAGTACAGTGGACAGTGAGTGAACTATGGACGTGTCGGAGACGCTTGTGCTTGTGTCTGTGGGGGGGCTCTTTGCCAAAAGGGGGCCGCTCGGTGCGAGGGACGCCGGTTCACCTCGACTCGTCTCGTCGGGGGGAGGGCGAAACGACGGTGTTCGCTGTATCGGATCAGGGCGTTGAAGGGATCGGGTATAGCAGAACAGAACAGGACCAGAGCAGCTCAGATGACAAGAAGCGTAGTAGAGTTGATAGTAGAGAGAATTATGAAGAAAGAAAACAGAGACAAAGCAAGATTGGAAAATGCGGATGTGTATGGGAATGACAAGAGATGGCGTCTGGCGGGATAGACATGGGACATGGACATGGACATGGAGAGCCCGTTTGGTTTAGTTTAAGTTTTAGTCTGAGGGAGAGAGATCAAATCAATCAATCAAGACAAAAAAGGCGAGAGAGAGACCTAGACACTGAGAAACTGAGGTGGTCCTTCTGATCTGAGGGGACATAACCTAACGATACCTCGTTACGGTAGTCGTTGTTATTGGGGACGGAGACGCAGCACAGGCCTACTACAGGGCACACGGGGAGTTTTAGTTAGTGCACCAGGTACCTAGGGGATCTGAGGTGAGGGTGTGAGGTGCAGGTCGCACTGTACCTGGGACTCGGGCATTATTGTGCAGCTGTACTGTAAATAGTCCACACCTCCGAGAGCATAAGCTCACCTGCAGGTAAATGGACTTTTTCAAGAATGAGCTGACCTAAGCCCTATTTACACTCTCGCCCTCGCCATTTTGGACAGTCCATCGAGGTGTATTTACGCACTAACTTTTGCGGCTGCTGCTTGAGGTTCACAGCACTCATTGGGTAATCACAGTGCTGAGTACAGTGTTTCTCCAGCTGGCCGCTGTCAACGCCAACTAGCCCGACACCTCACCGTCCGCCACAGCGAACAGGCCTTTGTAACCTTGAGAGAAGAGCGGGGATAATAGAGCAGCCTCAGCAGGGTCGACTACAAGCAAAGATCGCAAAAGGGTCAATGTTTTCAGTAGACTGGAGGGATAGGAGCATTTGGCATGCGGCGGGTGACTTTGACAGTAACAGCCCAGGGCGCAGAACGGGGCGAGTCTCAGGGTCACCACCATACAAAATGATATCCATCTGATGAGAGAGAGGGGGGAGAGAGAGAGAAAGAGAGATCCACAAGCTAGCGCCCAGCTCGTGGCAGCAAGCCTCCGCAATATCTTTAGTTATTAGCAGTGAACCTAATGGAATTAAATAGCCCTGCCCTGCCCTGGTCTGGTCTGGCTTCTACTTCTGGATGGAATAATTCCAACCCATAGGACGCGAGAGTATCTTATTTCGATATACCGTGCGATTTGCCGATATTACTGACTGTCCTGGCCTCCACTAGCAAAAGAGTCGACGGCAATTAAATGCTGGGCCCAAAGATTGCCTCTCTCAGATCACATCACATCACATTAGCCGCACCCATTGACGATACGCTGTACGACACAACCTGTAGACAGCGTGCGTCGTTAACTTGTCGGATTTACAGCTGCCTCGCCCTCATGGCACCTCCTGGCTAGCGCTGTGTCAGTATCTACAGGGGAGGATACCGAGCAGGGACCCTGATTCTTGCTATTGAGTCTACCCCTGCCGCTGTACGGGTTGTATCCACTTGTCCTAGCCCTGGATCTATCCCCGGCTGGTGACTCCTGGCCGCTTGTGATGCATCCATGCCATGCCATGCCCAGGCTTGCAGATTGTTGTGCCGCTACCAACCACAAAGGTTGCATCGCACACAACTTTATGTCGGATGATACTTTGTCATAAAGTCACCACCCACCAGAGCATCTCGTTCCTGGGAGGGCGGATTCTGGACGTCGAGGGGCCGGTCCTCCAATTCCCCTCAAACTCAGGACCCCTTTGTGAGATGGGAATCTCTGGGTTTGGGCACCACGAAGGGAATCGTTGATGGCAAAAATAACCCAACGTCGTAACAAACCTGAAGGGAAGTGTAAATGGAAATTCACGGCCGGATATGTCCGTGGCGGGTACGGATATGGTGCCTTACTTGCCCTGCTGCTGAGATGCAGCCTCAAATGGAAGATGCTGTGTTTGTGTGGGGAAGATGCAGGTAAAGCTAACTAATCTGCGACTGTGATGATGTCGGCATGCGTGTGGAGGAGAGCGTCCTCCCTTTTTGATGCATCTATAGACACGGACATGCCTAGGATCGAGATATTTGCACTGCAACAAATACGGTATCTCTCTTTGGCAAACTTGACAATCCGTACTCCGTAAGAGCCTGATTGAGTTCCGGTCACGACCATATGAGCGTTATTCCAGTGGCGTTTGTTGGCTCGCCTTAACCCGTTTATACACATCACACCCAATCGTGATATGTCAAATTAACCTGAAGCAATTATCCACCTTTTGCTGGGCCACGAACCAACATAACACGACTTGATCAACTTTGATCAATCATCAATGGCAACATCGGCTAATACGGGAATATTTGGTGAACACGCCCAACAACGGCCCGTGTGTTTGCCTCCGAACTCTACTTATCCCCTGGACTGCCAACACACATGGACGAACAGGTCCAGGGCGTGCTCTAAACTTTGGGTAGACTGGACCTCAACATACTACGTACGTCCATACAAACAGCTCGCTCTCCGCCTCTCGTCATGCTTCGTGCAAAGGCTGAAGGGACCCCACCAAACTATTGAATCGAATTCTGCAAAATACCAAAAATCAACAAAATATGTAGCAGAACATCAAGAGTCTAGTGCCTGTTTCGCCCAGCCAATAACCCAATATGAGAATGCCGAGACACCCTCTTGTTCTCGACGGTAGGACAGAATAAGTTATCTTTTTGCAGAGGATACGCCTCACTCGTATCTTTACTTAGCATCTCGATCAGCTCTAGGGCGGCATTGAATTCTCCATCATGTCTCACCAAGAATCAGCCTCTTACTCTCTCAAACCGAAATTTCAGCGCCACTGCCATACCTTTGAGTCTCCCTTCTGGGCCACCAAATAACTCTGCTTGACCTTAGCGTATCCCTTTTCTGCCAATCTCAGGAACAAGATCAGCCTCAATACATAATATTTGCCTAGAGATACATATCGAGTTAAGCTCATCCCTTGCGCGTTGTCTTGGCCAATCTTACCCTCGGCGATCTGTTACGTAGTATATCTCTTTCTTCGTATCACCTGCGATACGGCACGTCTATACGATTTCCCCGTCCGTATCTATGTACTATTCCTGTGCTTCTCACTCAGTGGAGGCCAAGTCAGGTCAGCACTGGACACGTCTTGGTCTCGGGAGATCATCCACCGGCCTCAAGCCACATCAAGGGACAGGGGAGGTCTGGAACTTTACCTTTCTCTGCCGTTCACCATGTTACAAGTGTTTATTTGTTTTGTGGTTTTACTTTTAGCCATGTCTTTTCAGCTCGTGTCTTCTGTTGACTATGGCGCACACACTTTACAAGCAACTATTACCGCTACAAGTACGACCACACCTTTTTGATGTCTATTTAGAGTCCGGGTAGCTCAGAGTTACCTAGTCGGTCGTTTCCTTCGGAGCTGAAGCACAGTGTGTCTCCCTGTGACCAGTCAAACGTCGTGCCTTGGCTTTGCTGGGGCCGAAAGCTGACTTCAAGCTGACGAGAGGTGGCTGTAAAAGTCACAGATTGCTGGCAAGTGCAAGCCATTCAAACTCAATTACTGTTTCCATGGATGATGTTGAAGCAGAGGCTGGCTGAGGTAAACAATTGGACCCCCGCTTACCTTTTCAAGCATGATCAAGGTCTTCTCTTGTTTCCCCACTTTCTCTCACGATATCATCATCTCGATATTTGGGCCAGACTATTACTTCACTGCAACAAGTATGTCTGTACGGTACCTGACGCTCACATCAGATGCGCGGCAGCCGAGCGGGTGCCAACTCCAATACATGATGATTTCTTAGCCTATCCGACAGTATCGGATGACTGCTCATTTATTGACCATCACGAGGCCAAACGCCCACAAACGCGATGCCTGCAATTCTCCAATCGACGTCATTTGTGATCCGTCTTGGACGACCAAGCGGTCGACGAGGGAAAGAAAAGAGGCACTGCTCTGTGCAACCGTACAACCAGTCACAATGCGCAAAGGACACCCCGAAACGTCCCAAAGGCCACATTTCCCGGCTCGCTGCCGTTCGCTACAGCGGTCAAGAGCGTTTCATTACAAAGCCATCAAATAAGCCAGGGTTTGTACGGGAAACCAATGCTCGTTTCCGTCTGTAGTATTGATTGCCATTGGTTGGGATGATAGCCATGCTGCTGTCTTGCCAATACAAACGTCGCGGGTCTGGCTTGACACGCCATCAAACCGCGTTCAAGTGCATAGAACGGGCGGGCACGTTAGATCGGAAAATCAATGTCCATCTCTAGCTTCCACTTGATGCCTGTTTCTTTGTCGACATGCTTGAACTACCGGAACTGTGGGAAACGGTGTTCTTCGGGAGTGTTGCATGACTGAGGTGGAGCTTGATTTAACAGTCCAAGGTTGGACATGCAATTGGTGGTGTCACCTGTAACCTCGATATACTGAGGAAGTGGCTCCTACATAATACAGGTCTCCAAAACCTTTTCATTGATACACGATGGAGGATGAGCGGAGTTTCCATTGGTGGCCGTTTTGTTGTCTGTGCCTTTTTGACTTCTGCGATGGGGACAGGGTGATAAGATCTGGCCATCCTTCTGAATGTTCGTCTTTTCACTTTGGTCTGCTACTCTCGGTTGTTCCAAATACTGACTTAACACTATAGCGGGTTCTAGGGCACCAGCAACGGTTGAGTTCGACTACGAAGCATTGATCTTCAATCCGGAAAACCCACGGTATATTTCACCGCGCCAATGGGGGAGAACCAGGACCTGTGTTCTTGCTGCACACCTAGACTGCATGAGAAGATTTCCTCCTTTTGACAAGCACGTTGTATTGAACCTCCTTCACCATGATTTCCCACCCTCGGATTCCAGAAAACGGGAAAGAATGCTGGTTCTTCGACAGTGTTGCCTTGATATTTCCGGGGAGCATACCGATATCACATTGGACGCTCTTCGAGAACAGGCTCGAATAGGCGTGAGGGACTTGATTCGTGCACCAAACTTGGTAAATATCCTTTCTAGCAAAAAGGCAAGATATTTACACTTCGTGGTCGATCCATCAAAACCCATTTGGGGAATATCGACCACGTTCGAAAATGCTCGCTACCTTCAAGGCCTTTCAAACAAGGCTGGCAAGGACGCGTTCCTGGTAGTCTCCCAGCCGCAGCAACTCTCGAGCGGAGTCTATCTCGCTTCAGATCACCTTGGGGTCAGGGCAATCTCCTTTGGTGAGACTGATGTGACACAGAGATGCCACTATGAGCAGCCGGGAATTTGGTGGACTTTCCAAAACACCGACAAGTCGGAGCGATACTTTGTGAAATGGTACAGTGATGTGAGTCGGCCCGTGACTTGAGCTACAGGCAGAGGATTGACAAAGACGAACCGCGCAGGGCTTTAAAATGCGCGATTTGCACGTGGTGAGATTGCAAGAAGACGTTCTGGCTCCGCTGGCAAGGTGGTCGTTGCTACCACGAAATCCAGAAGCCATCTGGTACCTACATCTCGATGACAGGTCCGGTGGTCGACACTATTTCAAGGTTTTGGAGTGTGAAAGCCCTGAGATTACCGGCTATTCAGCATGCCTGCTTGACGAAGACCTGTTTTACTTGCATGGTCATCGTGAGGGCGAGGACTTTTCATTCTATAGTGAAGGCCGGGGAGAACGACTACACGCAGTGTGGCTATATTTTCCAGTCGAGAAGCACGAGCGGATCGTCGAAGTCTGGCGCCTGAGGAGAAGGCCAACATTCTGGCGCGATATCATTCTGGTGAGTTACGAAGGCTGGACAGATGACAACACGTAAATAGGTGCTGATCTGATGCAATCTAGCTACGAACGAACAAGAGCCGCGTTTTCTTCCTAGGAGCAAACGCCAATATGTCCCAGCCAAATGCCATCTTCGAACGTGTGGCCTTATTGACCGCCCAACCTTCTCGTCTCTGGTTCAGTTCTGAGGGAGACGGCGTTGACTGTCTTGCATTCGACTGTGAGGACAAACGCCACGACAAGAATGAAGCTCCGCCATTTTTTCACGACCCATCCACATGGTCCTCAAGGGTGAGTGTCCAGCAGGTTTTTAACAAGTCGGTTAGACTTGGAGGTGTGACTGGACTCGTACCCTGCAGAACTTGGATCCCAGGATCTACTGGGATTGTCGGTCTCATTTTCACCTATTCCGATGGCTCGAAGGAGTCGGTAGGACAAGTCCGTCTTGATCATCTCCTTCCACCCATCGAGGTTGATCCGGCCGGGGAGATGTGGATAGGAGCCAGACTGCTTCACCCTAGCGGCGCAGTCGTTGAGTCGATGAGAGTGATTCCGTCCACTGGCCAAACCTTCCATGGTGGAAACCCTTCCCAGGAAGGACTGACCTGGTTGAGGATACTTTGGCGCGGTCGATTAGACTGGAACTTTCTGTACAGCAAATGCTTCATCAATGTCAGCGATCAGGCCAATGTAGATCAGCATATGAACATTGATATGTTGCTGGAGAGCTGGGCTGGGAGAGAATGGGAGAAAGAGCAGGTGTCGGAGCAGCTTGCTGTGCGTGCCCGTTGAGAAGACACATTGGCGCTTAGAGCAGATTCATTTAACACGTCTTTCAAGATACCCAGGTTCCTTCACATCAGGCTAACAGGATCCTTGCTCCATCTTCCAACTCCATAACATCATCTGCTCTCGCCGCTTTCCCGCCCCAAATCACTGTCCCAGTCCCATCAACAGCAAAAGCACCAGCTTCTTGCCACTTATTCCCCATCGTCGTCAAAGGCCCACCATCTTCTTCATCGTCCGCATTATTCGTATTCACTGGTTTCTTCTCACTCGTCTCCTTTCTTTGTATCGCTCCAGCCACTTTTTCTCCCAACCATCCCGACTCTTTCCATCCTTGAACTTGTGTCGTTGGATTGAGTACATACCACATACTACTCGTTCCTAAACCCCATGCTGCGTAGATAGCCCTCTCCTCATCGACTATGACGCGAACACTCCAGGCGCCGCCGAGGAGGGATACCCATTTTTGAGTTGCTTGCTCTGAGGCGTGGGATACGGCTATGCATGTCAATGCATCGCCGTATCGATTCGCCATTGTACGAAGATTAATAAATGTCTTTTGAGCAACTGCACATCATCAGCATTCACCTCAGCATCTTGAAAACAGCAACTTACAAGCACAACCAACACAGCGTAAAAACACAAGCAGGACTCTCTTCCCCCCGCCAACCCTTAACTTCCCCGTCTTATCAACAGGCGCTTTATCTCCTATCCCCGGGAGTCTACCCTTAGCAACAGCAGCAGGCGGAGGCGTCAACCACGGCTGAACAGTAAGCGGGAGAGACCGAACAGACATCCAAGACGTCCAGCCTGATTCAGTTTCATTATCGAGATCTGCTGGTGGATTTTTGCGCAGCTTGTTTGGCTCGCGCTTCTTTTCTGAAAAGTCGAAGACATCGCTTGGTATACCTGCCTTTTTGAGGGCGAGCTTGGTTGTGAATGATGAGAGCATCGTGAGGAATGAGATGTGAGGGTGATGGGACTAGGGAAGATTGCGGGCCGGGCCGATGTATATCTGGGGTGAGACAATTATAGGTTGAGCATATCACGGGAGTATATCGATTTGATGAGATTAGTGAGCAAGTTGTTATGTTTGTTCTTTGTCTTGTGGAAAAGATGAGACGTGGTGTTGAGTTGAAACTCCAAAACAGGGGGTTGTGATGACGCTAGTAAGGGTTTGGAATGGGGGCGATCTGTAGGGTAACGCGAATGGTAAAGCTTCATCTGCTGGAATGAAGAGACGAGATCTTAAGGCATATTTGCGAACTTAAATGCCAGTGATCGTTAATTGCATTGCTTGGATTAATTGAATCCTTTGGTAGTCGTCTGGTCTATGTGTGGCGTGAGGTAGGTAAATGTTGCTATAACTTGGATAACCATGAGAGACAAGACCTGTTTTTCACCAGTCATTAATATCGATGTTTGCAGCAAGCTAACCATTACTTAAGCCACATTTGAGAACACGACTACCATGTCACCTCGAGCTCGTGGGGATCGCGTTTTGATTGATGTTGAACCATCATAAAACGAAGCATTATTTCCCATCCTCCTGAATGCCGTGAGCTCTGTGGCACATAGCATCCTCAATCGTGCGCAAATCATGTCTCCAAAGGATCACATCATGGAATCCCAATCGGGACCTCAAAGTCCGTAGATTGCGTAGTTGCCGTTGTTTTCGGCCTCTCGGTAGACCTTATCAATATTGTTTGGATCTATTTGAAGCTCAAGTTAGCTGCAATGCTCGTCGTTGCTAGACATGCTTTGTGGAAGCCAACAACTCACCAACATTCCCAAGGAGGAGCGTCAACGATTTGACAATCGGTTTCTGTTCGGCCGCATCAGAAGCAGCGTATTTGGCGAGAATACAACGCATCTCGTCTTTTGGTTCCCCGGACGGGTGATGTGACAATTCACATTTGCCTGAGCCCGCATCCCTGGTCCAGTCGAGTCGTCCGCTCATGGGAACTACAAAGGTTGTCCGGCGTTCCTGACGTCCATCATTGTCATCCATGAGAGAATTGTCATCATCGTATCCTTCATAGTACCAGGAGAGTGGTCTGAAATTTACAGTGTCTGAATCGAATCCGTACATGATGGTGTGCTTGCTGGCCTTCGACTCCTGCCAATTCGAATCTAGGTATACTGCCCACATGGCATCTGAATCTACCGGCAATGAGTGATTCCATTGTTCAGGATCAAAGTGAAAGTCACCGACACAACTACGAGTACCATTAGTGTAGGTAAAGAGCAAACCTGTCTCGGTGTCTCTACAGTCATAGCTGTTCATGCAGGGAGTGACCTGCCTGACATTATCAAGACTTGCAGACGAATAAAAAGAGCCTGTTGTGCCCTCGAAATCGCACTGTCTTTCATACTTCATTGGATTCTCCCATGTGGACACTGAATCGAAATGAAGCCACGCGACGCTGGATGCAGGCAAACCATCGAAGTCGCCTGTGTAAAACATGCGGGAAGGAGTTTCCTCAGGTAACTTGGCAACGCAATGGTAGGTTGCACCTGGTATATCTTCATGTGTTCCAAGGACAAGATTGCGGCCGTGATTTGTGACAACCTGTACCACCATATGATCAGTATAGCTGTCAACATATAGCACCCAGTGATCATAGCTTACTATGAGCGTGGATAGTGTTTCATGAAAACTACGAACCCAGAGTTCAGAGACTTTCTCGTTAGGGTTCATAGGGAAGAAAAGCCGCATGATCTCTTCACGGCTTAGCCTTGGGTCGGATTCTCCAGACCCTAATGGATTTCCGTCCTGGTGAGAATTACACTGAACAATCGCACTGCCGACAAGGCAGAAAGAATAGGCCACGGTATTGGGTTTATTCCACTCCATGGATCGCACATATGTGTGAGAAATGCGGGAATCAGAATCTCTGGGAAGTGGAACTCTTGGCCAGAGCTTGACTGTTGTAGGAGGAATATCCATCGTATCTCAACAGGTCCGTATTCGGCGAACTTCAGAAACTCGAATGGTGATTTGATAACACCCAAACCACGAAGTTTAATGCCCTAGACCAAGACATATCAGTAGAGTTTTGACGTTAGGTAGCCACTTTGGCAATGCTTACATCGAATCTTGCTTTCAGATAAAACGTGCCACTTTGTTGAGCGTAAAAAGTCCACTAGTACCCTTCAACTTGGCTCACGTTAGGCCGCTCTTCACATTTAGTGAAGATGACCTTGTTGACTCCACGGCCGTTGTGACGGATGAAAACGTTGAGGGGCTTCGTGATGGCCTTTCTATCAAGGACGACTTCCTCGTCTCCGCCGCGCGATTCATAGGATAATGACCGAATGTACCGACTGCCCTCATAGTTGACATACTCCGCCCATAGCACCGTATTAGTTTCAATCGGAACCGATATATTTCCTGCTTTGTGACTATCACTCTTCGACCAGAGCCGTTGGAACACACGAACCATTTGCTCCTTGCAGTCGGCCGCAATTTCGCAGCAAATTTCCTGAGGTAGAAGCCCGAGACGAAGATCGAACAAATGTTGTCCGAAGGTGCGGTTCAGCCAGTGGATACGACGTCGAGACAGCGAACTGTGCATGTCAAACCGACCTCCAAGAAAGGTCGCCACAGGTACATCGTAAGACAATTGACTATCGAAGATCAAGGTCCGAGAAGTACACTCTACACATGCAAGGTGATATATCATCCTATTCGTACGACGAGGGGAGTCAAGGCCCCCAAAAGTGTATTTGATGGGCTCTGTGTTTTCACGGTCTATCATGTATGTGTCAGCGGTCAAATGCAAAGCCAAAGGCGAGTAATAGAATGGTCTTTACATGAAATGACTATGTCACCGTGGTCCAATCGAAACCTGCAAAGGCCACAGGATTCTGAAAAATAGAGAGCATCGATATCAATGCCTGAACCCCCGCCGTAGGAGTCGGCGAATTCTAGTGCCATCGCGTGTCTCGCTGGTCTGTTCTGTCACGTCAACACAGACATGGAAGCGGCAAGGGGGACAAGGAAAGAAAACAAAATAAAAGAAGTAAGCTCGGGATCTTCAATGGAGGCTCTATAAAAGATTAATCGATTAGTTTCCAAGTTCGTCCAGAGCTACGAAAGGGTTTCCTGTAAAGTCATGGCAAAAATCTGCCCAGATTACTCAAGCTCTATCAAAACTCATGATTGGTCTTGCGGTTCACACCTCACCAAGACTCAAACCAAGGATAATCGGCTTTCCAAGACTAAAGGATATAGGCAAGATCAAAAAGAATAGGAGACTTACCAGAATATGTTAAAAAGAATGCCCTATTGAGATAATGAATCTGGTGGTTGAGAGGGAAGTGGGAAGATATTGACTTCTCCGAGCGATGTTGACGAAAGGAGGACAAGTGAAGATGGGAGCGAGGAAGGCAGAGGAGTGTCAGGAACTACCTAATCAAGATCGACTGATGGAACAATCACGTGTGTTGCCTGGAGTCGCGCCTTTGACACCTGCTGGCACTGGCGCCCGAATATCTAAGGTAGGTACCCGATGCGAAAAAGCTCCAAATGGCTGTCATCCTAGGCAAGGCAGAGCATGCCTCTCTGCCTAAGGTAGGTAGGTAGCTTGACCTTGTGACCTTCCACTTCCTCTTCATGATCCCTTCCGATGCGTTCACACAACTTCTGCGAGATCCCTATTTCCTTTTGTCCCTTATCCTCCAAGATGGTCATAACTTAGGATATGTCATCATAAACCCTTAAAGATTCATGAATAAAATTAGACTATTCTTATTTATCTCTTAGGATACAGGTTTCTTACCTCCCCAATGTCGGCCCGTTGTAGCATCCACTGCTGTTGCCCCTTTCTATCTACCCAGGACCTGTCCTAGGGAACTGGAAGGACAATGATTCCTTGACATCGTGATTTTGTCCTCAAAGCCCGTATATACCATAGTTGTCGAACTCTTTGGCAATCTTTTCCGGTCGGAGATTTTCTGGAGCTGGTTGGTGGCTCAAGTTAGCATGTCATGAGTTTACATGGTCAAGACAAACCGTCTTGGACTTGCTAGTTTTTCCAGTCAGAATCGTACAGGATTTAGAGACTGGTTTATCGCGGTCTGCTTTAGCATCTTCGACCAGTACATGAAGCATCTCGTCATCTGGTCTACTACGCATGTGATGCGACAATAGGCATATACTGACATCAGATTCTTTGACCCAATCGAGCCGTCCTCTCATGGGCAGTGAGACATACTTTGGAGACCTGTCATAGTCGTCGTCGCTCTCTGTTTCGTCCTCACTCTCATCTTCTGCAGAGCTATCGTCTTGGTGAGAAGTTTGTTCTTAAAGGTGTAGGAATGCGCGTGGAACATGAAGTAAGGTTTATCTTGCGGTAGTTTGGCAACGGCATGGTATGTAGCACCCGGGACATCTTGCTGACTTCCAAGGACGAGACTACAGCCGCGATCTGTGACAATCTGTATCATCTAATGTTTAGCAGTGCCATCTCCGCATACCTTCACAACAAAATTGATCAACTTACTATGAGAGTCGCCGTCCTTTCAGGATACTGACGGATCCAGAGTTCAGAGACTCTTTCGTCAAGATTCATGGGGAAATGCAGACACAAGAGATCGTTGGGTTCACCTGTCGTGTATTTGTGGTAAGGTACTGGCGGTCCATGGACGTGATGGAAATTGCATTGCAAGACAGCTTCACCGCAAAGAAGGAAGGAATAGCCGGATATCCCTGGTTTATTCCAGTCAAGACTTTGTACATCAGTCCAAGGCATGCCGTTCGGGATCGGAATCTTGGGCGAGAACTTCACAGGCGACGGAGGCATAGCCCACCGTATCTCGCAAGGACCACCTGAAGCGAAATTGAAGAAGGTCTTCGGGGTTTTGACAACAACGAGGTCCCGGATTTTGATGCCCTAGACCCAGGCGTGTCAGAAGTGTTTGCTGTTGTAAAGCCGCGATACTTACATCAAATCTGGCTTTGAGGTGGAATGGGCGGGTTTATTAAGCATGATAAGTCCACCAGTAGTTATGGGCCTCCTCGGTCTCAGGCCTTTCCTGTCCTTCGGTTACAACAAGCTTGTTGACCCCTAGATGGTTATGCCGGGCGAAGAGGTTCAAGGGATTCGCCGTGTTCCCTTTTATGAGGAAGTACTCATCGCCGCCCTGCGAGTCGTAAGAGAACGATCCAATGTATCGAATACCTTCGAAATAGGTGTATTGGGCCCAGAGAGTCGTGTGGCTGTAGACAGGAACCGATATGAAATCATGGCGAGTTAGGCGCTGTCTCCATTCCTGATGGATGAAGCGAATTGACTGTTCACGAACACAGTAGATGGCAACATTTCTACAGATTTCGAAGGGTAGGCGCCCACGAAGGGCATGGGAGAGGTTTTGTGTGACAGTGTTCTCCAACCAACGGCGGCGAGGACCACACATTTCTTCGGGCTCATTAAAGCTCCCGCGGATAGTGACAGCAGCTCCAGCGAGGTTTCGTAGACTGCCAATAACAAAAGACTTGGCGTATTCAACACACTCATGATGTAATGAAATGGGATAGGACCTTCTGGCATGGCGTTTGACTACTCCAGGCTCCGCGGCTTTCTCCCCTGTAGCTGTCAGTGTTGTGCCCAAGGCCAGCAGATATAACCTTACATTCGACGATTTCATCTCTGTAGGTAAGCTCTAACCCACAAAGACTGCAGACCTTTCCATATAAATCCAAGTCTGAAAAGTCCCTCTTGGAAGGGTGCAAATGCCGATCCTCAAAAGCCAGTTCCATTGTGATGAGAGTTAGAAGAGTTGAGGCATAATTTAGAATAGGATTTGAGACGTAAAGAGGTAAGATGAAGAAGAAGAAGCGATACAAACAAATAGTGGGACTAAAGCCATTCACTGATGATGACCATCGGGCATCGCTCAGAGGCACGCGTTTGGCACCTGCTGGCACTGATACCTAAATAAACTCATCAAAAGGCATCCTAATATTTTACTAAGTTAACCTAGTTTTATACCAAGTCGCCTAAGTCATTTTGCCATTCAAGCTCCCAGCCACAGGTCTCAACCGCAAATAACACATCCCGAGTATGACTACAAAACCCCCAGAGACTCTGCCCCCTAAAAGATCAGTGCCACTGTCTTCTTTCATAATTCCAATTCTCCATCGAACCCGCGCTTCGTCCGACGAGGACCGAAAATGGCTTGGCTACCTGGCGCGGGCGAGGCGTACCCGGGGCAGGTTCTTTTGCAAGTGCCTTGAGGAATTCATCTTGGGGCTCACTGTCGTCTCGGTGGGACAGATGGCACTGGCGTTGACTGAAGTACCAGTCAAGACGCCCTCGCATAGGAATCTTGATACATTGTCCCTCCCATTCATCTGCATCTGGTTCCTCAAACGAGACGAAGTAAACACCAGATCCATCCTCATCATGAGCACGCCAGCTGATTTCATCTGTCTCAGGATAGACAATCCACATGGTGTCAGAGGTGACCTCAATCGGAGCAAGCAGGTGGTCGAGACGGACTTCGCCAACGCAGCGTTTGCGACCGTCCTCGTAGGTAAGCAAAAGCCCGAGGATCCCGTCAGGATGGCGCCAGGACCTACACGGGGTGACAGTTCGGACCCCTTCAAGTTCGGCAGAAGAGTACCGGTACTTGCATTTGTCAGGAAGCAGCTCAAGCCTTCTGTTCCGACTACCACGGAGTTTGAGCTTCGCGAATGTAGATGCACCCTCGAACCTCATCCACGAACCACCCGTTTCCCAGTTCGCGAGGTACATGCGGCAGGGAGAGTCCTGTGGAAAAGTTCCGACAAGGTCATACTTGGCATGTGTTTTGTATCCCACAGGCTGCTGATACTTCAGCTGAGGGCCAAGAGTGAGTAGGCGGCCCTTACTCGTTCGAAGCTAAGGGGATATTATTAGTAAAACGTCAATGTAGATTGACCGACCACTCACTATAAGGGTTTGCCGCAGGGTTAGGACTGTCACTGTCGAGCTTGACACCATAGCGGCGAATCCAAGCCTCTGAAATTCGCTCATCCGAGTCGATAGGGAAATACACCCAAGAATATGCATACTGTGAGGTCGAGCCGAAGTCGTAAGGGTGCTTCTCACCGGCTTTGTGAGGAATAATCTTCATGATGGTGTTGTCCCATCCATAGAATGAGTATCCGATGACATCGGGCCGATTCCAATCAATAGCCGAGATGACCTCGTCCCCGAGGAACGATTTAAAAGGAATCGGGGGCTCAGGAATAGGATCCAAGGTTGTTGGAAGTACTGACCACCGTAGATCTTCTGGAAACCTCGGCTGGTCAATGCGAGTGTAAGCTGCCAGTTCCCGAAGCTTGATCCCCTGTTATAGGTCAGCAGTTGTTATATTCGCCAATTCGACATTCTTACATCAAATCTTGCTTTCAGATAAAATGGCATTTTTCTCGGGGTGAACAAGGTCCACCATCTTCCGGGCTCTTCCTTGACCGAAGGCACATGTTCACCAGAGGTCGCGATGATGTCAACCACTCCCAGATAATCATGGGCAACCAAGATGTTGACGTTTCCCTGCGAGCCAGGAAGGACCCGAGTCTCGTCACCTCCGACAGAACGGTAAGAGAGGGATCTAACATGGCGGATGCCTTCATAGTTCACATACTGAGCCCAAAGAGGCTTGCCCTCTCTGATAGTCACGGAGATGCGACCTGGCTTGGGTCGGTCCTTTCTGAGCGAGTGGTGTCGAACGACCTGGACCGCTCGTTCTTGAAGACAGTATTGGGCAATGTTTTCGCACACTTCAAGTGGCAGGCGGTTTTTGATAGTCTGAAAAAGTTGTTCTGAAAAGGTCTTTTTCAACCATTTCAGACGTCGTCTTTCGATTGAAGGGAGGGGAAATCGGCCTTCCTGTAAAGGTTCAAAGATAGTCGCATTGTAAATGCCGTGATCCAGCCGCTGATCGGTCATTAAATCTGGTGCCAGATCAACGCATTCGGCATGGAAGGTGTGTTTGGAATAGTGAATGGTCCACAAGATTTCAGGTTCTGAGTAGGTAGTCGTCCACGGTTCACACTTTTCTTTGACTAGGTAGCAAACAGGGTCGGAAGCGAATCATTTCTGCCATGAAAGGGAACTCACAAACGACAACGCTGTCATCAATACTAAAGTTAAACCTGCAGAGGCCACACGATGGGGAGAAGCCACTGTTTTCCTTGAAATAGACTGTCTCCGTAGAATCTGTCTCGGCATCGGAGTCGATATACCAGCGGTCTTCATTTTCTAGATCCATTGCTAAGGCAAGGAAACTTGGGGCCTTGGCCTAAAGTTATAAAACTGTTTAGGTAGCTTAGCCTAAGCTTAGGGGATTCTTTACCAAGTTTATTTCGGAGTAGAATGTCAAGATGGAAGAATTGATTTGGAAGAAGATGGAATTGGTTTGGTTGACTCGGGTTATGAATGCGGATGCAGGTGAGAGTTCAGGGAACAGTTGAACCGAACCATTCTTTGTGTGTTCTTCTTCTTCTTTTTCTTCTTCTTCTTCTTCTTCTGCTTTTCTTCAAATTTTATCTGCATACCATTCTTTTTGAACAGCTTAAGAATTGTCATCCCGATTTCTCAATCATGTCCTCGCCCGGTGATGAAAACGGAGTGGAATCCGTCTTGCCAAGCGAGCCGACCGAATTCGAGACTGATTCCGACCGCGAATCTGATCCTGATCTTGATTCTGACGCCGATTCGAACTTTGGACTCGCTGGCCGTAACGAGTGGGCCCATTCATACACGATGTGCCGCCCAACCTGCGGTCTGTGTCGGTTCGAATTTGTTGAGGGGGAAGAGTTTGTTGTTTGTAGGTATTCCTTCTCCCCGAGGCCTAAAGAAGGTAGATCTAGCTGCCCGCCAAGCTCGATAATACAAAGCACTACTAACACTTACAGATAAACCGACTAGTCAACTCTATCCTCGTATCTGGTACGGGAAATACGACCCCTTCTCTCCGAGCCAGCTTGCGATAGAGTATGGATATCATCCAGACTGCGTTACACTTATCCAGCCCAGAAAATTGACTAATCACTGGCATTACCATCTTTTCCATGTCACCGCCGGCAATCGTGATTCTTTGAGCCTCCTTCGTCTTGGGCTAAGCGTCGAACGCAATGGATCAAACAAACAATCGCCACAGACCTCAGACAAGCTCTCGGTGGTCGTCTCCCGCAAGAGATATACCAACACATCGCGAGCTTCTGTCTTCGCGAACGCGCATGCCAACTTCTCAAAGATCTTTGGTTGGGTCACAGCCGCCCTAATACTCTTATCCAAACTTCATACATTGGAAGGTATACTTCTGTTTGGGCGCAGTATGTCGAGGTCGAAGGGTTGCGTTACGTCAAATCAATGTCAACCCGCCGCCTCACCCAACAAGATACCTTGGTTTTCAAAGCTAGGTTCAAGAAGAGGAGCGATACTAACAGGCCCGAGAAATTTCTGCATATCTATTACAGTCAAGATCATGTAGGAATACGCGGCATCAGTATCACAGAGGATGAGGAGATACCCCCTCTGAGGATGGAATTGGGGCTCTCCTGGGCTGTGCATCGTCATCAAAAGACCCCGTTTCGTTTCACACTGCGAGATGATGTAAGTCAAGCCTCCATACTCAAAAAAAGCACCTCGCTCATAGTATAAATAGCACATTAAGCTACGCAAATTGTCAATCCATCATACTATCAAACCCGACTTCACGTACCAGACAAGAAATTGGGGAGTTCTTCCAGAGAACTTTGGCTCATTCCCCCGAATTCCTCTGGCAACGAAATCTCCCTCCATTGATCGCCTGTACTTCGAGTCTGTTCGTGCTGTAGACTGGAACTCTCCCGGTTTATGCGGTTACTCCTTCTACGTGGACCGACACCTGATACGCGGCATCATTTCGCACAAACTTGGAGAAAAAGAGCCACAGAAACGGGATGAGTACGGCATAACCGACGATTTATGGTTTCACATGCCAATTGACCCCGATGAACGAGTCTCTGAGCTCTGGCTTCGCAGAGGACAATGTGAGGCTTTTAGTTTAGAAATTTCAGCAGAATTCGAGACACTCATTGTTCGAACAACAAAGGGGCGCAGCTTTACTACTGGTGTAGACTCCGCTTGCCGCTTTCCCCCAGACGAAGGTCGCAAATTCTGGTACAAGGCGATTGCAATCTTCCCGCCAGAAGGACCTTCTCGCATGTTCTATTGCAGAGCCAAGCATTTGTGGACCTACTTTGCTTTCGAGCACACACCTCAGCTCAGTAACAAGGGTAATCCTCAAGGAGTGGCTTCGTGGGGTAACTTTGAGATAGAACACTCACTCCCCCCTTCTTTCAACCCGTTTGCTAGCTATTTCAGCTTTGCCGTCTCATCAGCAAGTCTGAACGATGTCAGAACGATCACCCCTTGCCGGGCGTGGTCGGAACTATTCCGTAACGACGTCGTCGGGCTCTTGTTTACATACGGCGATGGCCGCCGGAGATGCGTTGGGCTAGTGCGTCTCGATTTTCTTGATCCTCCCTTGGCGGTTCACTCGGACAGCTTCTGGCTTGGCTGTACGTACAAGGATACACCAGTTGACGAGTGCACACCATGGCATAATAGTGTCACCAAGCTTTGTCTGTCTGAGCCAGTGCAAAACAAGGATATAGAGTACGTCAAAGTCCCGCTTAAGGGAAGACTCGAGTGGGCAGTTACACCTGACGGTAGTGCTGTTCGACATGTTGAGAAAGGGGAGCCGTCGGATGAAGTCGGCCAAGTCATGGCTGGTCGGAAGGAAGTTTTGGACTATGCAAGCCCAGGGATCAAAACCTTCGCTGTGCCGATTCGTGTCATGGAAACAAACCATTTCTTGATTGATCTTAGGGACGATGTGGATTGAGCTTGGCCGTCTACCGAGGGTTATGAGTTCAGTGTACCCGCGGGTTGTAAGAATAGATACGGATTGATGGATTACTACAGATAGACGATGGGAATCTACTGTTGTGAAAGTAAACTCTCTGGATTCCACTATGATAGGTGAAAAGGGGCAACACTTCGCCTCTCAGAACCGCCAGGTGGGTGGGGAAGGCAGTCAAATACTACTCTCTTGATTGATACCTGTTATCTTCCTTTCTTCTTGTGAGCAACAGAAAGGTAATGGATATAGTCCATTCCGTATCAATGCCACTTTCCGTGCTCTGAGCTGCCGCTGAACGTACATTGAATCCTTATTTCAGCTCCCTCGCGCTTTTGTCTCTCAAATACACCAATCGCGTTTCATCGAAATGACTGCGGAGGAATCTTTGCAAAAAGGCAGTGTTCAGTGAAACCCTGAATTTTCTCTGCCAAGTTATCGGGATTAACGGCTTTTCTCTTTTCTCCTCATATTAAAAACAATCCTCAGGAAGCAAGAAAGCATTAGAACTTAACATAAAATGTTACAACAAACTCATAAAAGGCACCCTAAACTTATCCAAAGTTACCTCCAGCTTTACCAAGTCATCTTAAATTTATACTAAGTACCCTAAACTTATGCTAATTTTAGAAACATAAGCCGCCGGTGTGAACAGAATACGCCTAGAGAGGTTCAGATTGTTTCTCCTGTTAACTAAAAACCGTTCTCTTCTTCGTAGAAGCACATGTCGCCGGTGTGAACAGAGAACGTCTTAACCGCCGTCTTCGAAGCAGTACCAGATGAAGCCTCATGGGCTAAGACTTGATCCATCTCGCTTTGCAACTTGCAGGCTTCGGAGCCAAGATGCCGCACATCGCTTTCCGTGGGCACAGTCCCCCACGTCGACCGCCACTCGAGCTTTCCTCTAAGCGGAACCTCGAGGTATTGCATATCCATGTCAGAATTCAGCACTGGCTTGCATACACCTAGCCATGTGATATTCCCCGTCGGTGAATAAGGCTCTTCGTCATCAGGTTCCGTGTCCCCGGAGCTTCCAAGCCAACACTTGTTAAAAATATTGATGGAGTCCTGCAAGTGATCAAGACGAATTTGCCCAACGGATCGTTGACGGCCATCTGTGTAGGTGAAAAGTAGACCAAAGATTTCGTTATCTACGCAGTCTCCCCACCCACGGCATGGGGTAATCGTCTGAAGGTTCTCGAGTTCGGCGGATGTTGAAAAGAATCGGCCAGGCCAGTCGTATGGACCGGGCCTGGCTGGTGGTCCAAGTGAGAGTTTGATCTTGCGCTCATGCCATGTTGTTATTTTCTCGAACTCAAGCCAAGACTCCCTATTTGTGTACTTGTAGTAAAATGTTCGGGCTGAAGTTGTTGATGGCAAATCGGCAAGCGCTTCGTAGTTGAGGGGCCTGTTGCTACGTGATGAGCGAGATCGGATGTCAGGGCCAAGCACAAGACTGCGACCGCTGCTTGTTACAACCTTTGAGAATGTCAGTATACTTTTGCTGGGGATTCAAGAAAGGCCAAAGCGTACTATGAGAGACTCTGCTCGAGTCAAGGCATCATCATCATCGCATGGGAAGTCTCCTGAGCGAAGCCATAGCCCAGAAATTCGTTCGTCAGGGTCAACAGGGAAATAAAGATAAACTACTCCGGCATTGGCATAAGCATCAAGGAGGGCAGGAGATAACTTCTCCGACCTATAGGGAACGATGTAGTCAATACAGCTCCAGTGTAGGCCAATGACATAACCGGAGACTCCAGGCAGGTTCCAGTCGACAGCATGAACTGCTGCCCCGTGACCTGTTTCGATCTTATCTGAGGGAGCGCTCAGGTAGCCAAGGTCTCTGGGGAACATGGCCCAACGTGCTCGTTGTTCATAGTGATATCCTCTTTCGTATTGGGTGACATCCAAATTGCGCAGCTTGAGGCCCTACATCGTCAAGTTAGCTTGTGGAGTTCACACATATTACATCCACGAGATATGACTCACATCGAAGTTCATCCTGATATAGAATGGGAGATTGTAAGTTTTCGAAGGAATGGAGACCCATCGAAGGCCAGGTTCCTCAGTACTCTGAATACCATCATCTGAAGAGGCAATGACGCTTCGTACTCCCAAACTATCTTCAGTGAAGTACATTTTTAACAAGTACATTTTTAACCCCATCCAAGAGTTGGGCTTGGGTTTGACCATAAAAATCATTGTATCATTCTCGTTCATGCGAACGGTGGAAAGAGACTTGACGTAAGTGCGACCTTCGATTTCAACGTACTGAGCCCAAATAGTTTGGCCGTTGAAAATGAGCAGTGCAACATCTTTTTTCGGACCACTGGGATCCCGACGTTGCCATGCATCCAGGTGAAGGTTTGTCGCATATTCGCTTAAGCAGTAAGCAGCAATGTTCTCGCATACCTCTATCGGAAGTCGATTCTTGATGGCATGTCGGGTTACCAGAGAAAGTGATGATCTGAGCCATCGAGTACGTTTTGCAACAAAAGACGGCGGTGGCTGAGTGAATGAAAGATGGAATCCGAACTGAGCGAGGTTCCATGTGCAAGATTCCAGGAAGCCCTTGGCAAATACGACATCGCCAGCAACTTGGAAACAACCTGTATGGAAAGCCTTTTGTCCATGGGCGCACAGGATCTCATTTTCTGAGTAGTATTTGTCGTCCCGGGTAAGAGGCAGGGTAGAGTTACTTCGGTCGACTGATTTAGAATTAGTAACTGTCAAAATAAAAAGTTCGGGTACAAAGTTCTCCGTGCTGATTTGAGCTCTCAGTCACAAGTCTCAACTGCAAATAACACATATGGCCCACAACTGAGGCTGTTATTTGCATACAGACTTGTGGATAAGAGCTCTAGAGCTTTGGGAACATACCCGTGATGATGGCTTGGCCTTCATGGAAGCGGAACTTGCAAAGACCACATATGTTGAATACGCGCGGTTCAAGGTCCGCAGAAGTGCCTGCTCGGCAACATCTTGTGCTTGGCTTGAATCGGGCGGGTCAACAGGCTGCTCCAGATCCATGATGTGGGCTATTCGCCTTCCAAAAGCCCAAGTTATTTGGGATTTTTCAGTGCATTTGATATGTCTCGCCGAGACGCGATAAGCTTTGGCTGTCAATTAATGGTGTCAGCTGTGGTCCGAACCATCCAGCTCCAGTAGCGTTGATCAGCGCAGCGCACTCTGACGAAGGGAAGCGAGATTTATGAAAAGAAGAAAATGGAACTCAGAGATAGGGTTGCTTTCAGAAGAGCAGGCGGGGAGTAGATGTGACTTCCCTGTTGACTCTCAATGGTACTGCTGAGACTGCCTACCTATTGTTGACAGTGCCTGACAGCTGCCAAGAATAGAAGACACACGCGAGAGGTGACAATGGCCAATTGACAAATGCCGAGCAATGGGAAGACAGAATAGGTAGGAGCCTGCAGAGAAATTGTTATCTGTGATACATCAAGGAGGAAGACACAACCAACCCCTGCATATCAAGATAGAGTAGGTAGTTGAGACTTGGCCCAGCATCACCATGATGGGACCAAACTCTACGAATGGTTAAACAAAAAGAGCTTTACGCTGACGGAAGGTCAGAGAAAACACTTTTTGATACGTCAAATAATGCCAGCAACTGTCATTCTCAATACAAAGAACCCGCGAGCGGAGTTACGTCAAAGCACCAAAACACCAGACACGAAAGCAAATAAAACGCCCACGATCAACGTAGGAACAGCCTGACACAAAGATTCCCTTTATCGGAATTGCTATCTAGATGGAAGTGAACCCCAGTGAAACAAATTCACATTGAAAAGCCGCAAGAGAATGGAGGTAGATTGCTTTGTTCATCTTGGTGAAGTGGAGATATCCATTACAAAACTCTACAAAATATCCATTAACTGCCGTCCATCCAATCCATCCCAACCCAACGGCGCAGTAAGGGGAACGATTTTACCAAGAAATACCGACGGAAATCTTGGGGTTTAAAACTCGAGAGAGATCGCTTTGACCACCGCCGGACCAAGTTCTCCAGACTCAACCTCACGGGCCAACATCTCACCAATCTCATCTACCTTATCCTGTAGTTTATTGCTCTCATGGTGGATGACCAAGTGGCGATAGTAATCCCCAGCCATGTAGCTATGCCATTCAAGGGAACCCGTAAGCGGTACTTCAAAGTACTCTCGTTTCTCATCTTCCAAAGGCGTGTCCACCTCAACCCAATTGATGTTGGATCTTGAGGGCCAGAAGCCTCCTGAGAGACGTTCTTCTTCTGACTTGTCGCTGCCAAGCCAAAACTTTCCTGAAGTCACCACAAGAGGCGGGTCCATGTAATCAAGTCGGATTTGACCGACGGATCGTTGGCGCCCATCGGCGTATGTGAGGAGCATGCCGGCAATGCCTTCACCCGGAGGGTCTGCGTGGCTCAGGACCAGACACTCTCTCCAGCCCCGGCATACGGAAATTGTCCTGACATTTTGAAGGTTGGCAGTTGACGTAAAGAAGTCTGCGTTGGAGCATGCAATAGGCATGGCTGGTTTCACGGATGATATGACGGCGTTCAGGTCCCGAGTCGCGACTTGTTCGAAACCCAGCCAGAACCTCAGATTTTCGGTCTTGCCATAGAACATTCGAGTTGGCTCGGTTGGCGATAACTCAGCGATCGCATGGTAGGTTAGCCGGCTTTCCCGCCCGCTAGTATAGTGACTTGCGCTATGGGAACCGAGAAAAAAGCTGCGGCCTTTATTTGTACGAATCTGGAATTTCGTAAGTATGTCTTTCACTAGCATTCGGGCATCATCGTAACTTACAAGAAGAGATCTGAGCATTGTTAAGTTTGGACTTGAGGGGAATTCGAAGTAGCGGCGCCAAAGCTCAACGACCTGCTCGTCTGGATCGATGGGTATGTAAACCCAAGCACCTGCATGGTTGATGTTCGTATCCATTAACCGTGAAGATGATCCTCCCCCGTTGTTCGGGACAATGTCGCGGACGCAGTCTGCGTCCATGAGAACGGAATAACCGCGGCATCCGGGTAAATTCCAGTCGACTGCGCGGATCGGCTTCTCCTCAGTTAGATTGTCATAACCTGGTGGTGGAGCAAATTGGCAGCTACCCAAGTGCTGGGGCAGAACAGCCCAGCGCCTCTGTTGGTAGTTGGCCACCGCTTTCTTTGTCTTGGTCATGGCCAAGTTGCGCAGTTTGAGACCCTAATAGCACGAAGCCAGTGAGTAAAGATCGTCTACGTGGAGTAGCGAAGAACAACTTACATCAGACTCGAGTTTGAACCAGAATGGAAGAGCCACTCCACGGTTGATAACCCATGACAAGTTCTCACCTTGAGCCAATACGGTATTGTCATCCCTAGTCATGACAACTTCACGGATACCCAAGGGGTCTTCGGCGAAGTAGATGTTTACGCGTGTGCCGTCTGTAGCCTCGAAGAGCTTCGTGTCGCTCTGATTTCTGCGAGTCGTAGAGAGAGACTTGATGTATTGGATGCCCTCAAACTCGATGCGTTGTGCCCATATGGCATGGGACTTGGTGACGCGGACTGCGGCATCCCGAGCCCCAAAATGGCCTTTCTTTGCCCAAGCATCTTTGAAGAGCCTCGTTGCGTAGTCTCTCAAGCAGTGGCTCCCAATGTTCTCGCAGACCTCAAGTGGAAGACGACCTCCGATGATATTCATGAACTCTTGGGCAAGCATCTCCTTCAACCGGCGTAGACGATTTGTTTCAAAAGATGCAAGAGGTTCCTTGACGAAATCTCCAAAGTTTCGGTAATGAGTTACGTTGCAGATGGCGTCACCGATGTTGTCGTCAAGCGAGAAATCCACAGTAAACTGGTTGACGCAAGACGAGTGGTAACCATTCTCCATGGATACAGTTTCGCCGTTTCCAAAATATTGTCCTTCCCAGATTGGTGGCAAGTAACGATTCTGAGGGTTGACTGTGGTCAGTTAGTAGGCTGCCGGGACAAGGAAAAGCCAATACATTACGATCACATACAAACAACAATGGAGTCCAACAGCTCAAACTTGAATTGACATAGGCAACATCTAGGCAGAACCACTGGTTCATCGTCCTCGTCAAACGAATCAGAGTCGCTGTTTTCGAGGTCCCAATGCGCAAAGCCTGAGTATTCGTCTGGCATGAGGTTCAAGTCCGAATCAGAATCTTCGAAGTCGAACAGATCCATTTCCCTGACTTTCGGTTAGCTCGGCGGGATAGGTAGAGGTGACACAGTCAATTGTCTCTGAAGACAAGATATATGGCCGCGTCAGAAAAGTGAGGTTGAGATGGTTGGGAGGAGAATAAAATAGAAGATTGAAAACGACGCGTACAGGTAGAGTTTAAAAATGCGGTTCTGCCCAGTGATTCATTGACTGCAGCTTCCTGTTTGCAGTTGATGCTGGCACTGGCGCTGGCACTGCTCATCCCTCACTGCGCCCACCACTTGCTTTACTCATAATGCAACGGTCAGTAAACAAACACTGAGCATTACTGCAAACAAGTGGAGATGGCGCCAAGATTAAACGAGCAAGCTGACGTTATGGCATGCGTACAATGCCTCAACATGCATGAATGATCGGACGAACACAAACATCGTCCACCCACCATTAACAGGTGTAAAATACTTAAAAAGAACATTGCCTTTCACAAAAAAAGATAGCGCCTTCATAAAACTAATCCATGCGATGCTCTCACCTGCAATGAGAGAATTTACCCTACCGTGAAGACCGCCAAACACTCGCAGGCGAAACATAGGAACAGACTGGTGCACGGGTCACACACAACCTTGAGATCGCGTGCTCGTAATAGTCTCACGCTCTACCGATTGAGCTGATCCGGCGTGGTTCTTACCTTTGGGATGAACTGGTGTGGAGACCGGGCCGCTTGAGAGGGCGGCGGGGTCGTGATGTTTTTCTTGGTGTTGAGGGGCAGTCGCTTTAGAGCTCGCGAAACGTTCGAGTCAACTCTATTGATCCCACCAGACCTTAATATGGGGTGTCAAGATAAACTTAGCAAAAGACATCATAGATTTATAGAAATTTACCCAAGTCTTTTTGTCATTTAGGATCAAGGTTCTTGGTTTTGTTCCCCCCCTTAGGGTACCAAGGTAAAGAAAAGACTTCTAATCTTCGCGACCAGTACATCTTGTAATCTCGACAGCGTCCTACGATTATTTGTTAGCGAAGGAAATGACGTTGGTGGGATTATGGGACTCACAGGAACACCGGTTGGCTCAAAGCTGTGGACCAATTTACTCTCATACACCAGATTCGGATCCCCTTCCTCCTCATTAATCTTCTCCTCTCCCTCCCTCTTCAAATACTGCTTCGCAGTTCTATCCGCAAACTCCTCCTTGTCATTCCCCCCCTTCGCCGCCCTCTTCTCCGCAACACTACTCCTCACATACGCCAAGTACGGTGGATTCCCCGGCTTGATGACGTTATCAGCTGCCAGAACACTGCCCGGCCCTACGAGGCCTAGTCGCTCACAGAGTTTGAGATCGCTCGTGTACGCGGGCTTGTAGTGGTCGAGGAACATGAGGTCGATCTTGGAGATTGTGCCGTTGGCGTGCAGGCGGGCTAGGCCTGCGTCGCTGGGACCGACGATCACGCGGGCGATGTCGCGCAGGCCCGAGAGGTCCAGAAGGGATGTTATGACGGCGGCGAATTCGGGGTTGCGCTCGAGGGAGAAGTAGTTTGTGCCTCCGGATTTGCGGACGGCGTTGGCGAAGAGGAGGGTTGAGTAGCCGACGTAGCCTCCGAGTTCAACCTACATCAGGACCATCAGTAAGTTTCTCATAAGGGCAAAGAGGTCAATTGGCGTACCATGACTTTGGGCTTCACCTCAGCGATGAGATCTGTCACAATCTTGCCCTTGTCTTCGCCCACATTCATGAGATACTTCTTCGTACGTCCAAACTCATCAATGGCTTGAAGAACACGTTCTGGTGAACCTCGCAGCTCATCAATGTCTGACCGACCATAGATGTAGTGCAGAAGCTCAATTTCACGCCCATCATCGAAGAACGTTTCTTCTTGCTCAACGTAAGCTTTCTTTTCGTCAAAGGAGGGCATTTTGTCGGTATTTTGCAACAACACAACAGGTCAATATGGAGTTGAACAGTGTAAATGGTAATGAGCGGGAGCTGTGAGCTATATGTACCTACACGGAAAAAGATAAACAAAAGAATCGCGTCCCTTAGTGTACCCGTCATTCATTCCCCTCCCCTCACCAGCTGCAGCTGCAGCTCGACTGCAAGATGCATGATATACTCACCGGTGCCTCCACTCGGGACCCCGATTGAGGGTCCTGGCGGGGAGAAGACCGTCCGAACACCGTCGTGGGGGCTCCGGACATTCCCATGACGCGCACATGCAATTCCCGTCATCATTTGCACAATTCAATCTGCTACCGTTAATTAATTTAATCAACGCGAGATAGAGTTTTCTAGTTAATCTGATTGTTTATTTTTATCGCCTCGAGAAGTGCTGTGACAGTTTGGTATCAGCACTGAAAGTGAGTCTGGACCTTTTCTCATTGCTCCGATCTCGTGCCTCGACCGCTACGTCGCACGACATGCATGTCTCACAAGGCACATTCACTCGTCCAACAGATCAACTCCGTAATAAACTTGTATTACCTGTATTCCCGAGCCTTCTCGCAATTACTATCAACCCTGCCTACCCCAGCCTAAGCACGATCTCGAAATCAGAAAACAATTTCTCCTTTCCATTGCGAAAACAACCCTTATACAACCATTTCCTATAACCTGTCCCAAACCGAAACCTGTCCCCAACCAGTACAAACGAGAGACATGAAAGATAACTGATCCTAACCTTGATCCACCCTGAGCCCCTTGAGATGCCATTTTTGTCTTCTTCTTTTTTTTATGTCTTTTGATGGTGTTTTTCGCCGTATATAAAACACATTCCTTTTCGCTCGCCGATTCGTGAGCATAAACACCTTGTATGTTCCCTTCCAATCCATTGCCATGGTATGCGCGCCGACAACTCAAATGCCTCCATCGTGAAAGGTACTCCGAACGCGCCCCGCAGTTGATGCCAACACATGCCGTAGTCGATATCGCAGGCTGATCGGTCGTCGTAAACAGAGTGAACGCCGTAAGAACCGCCCTGTTGGGTATATAGTTGCCACTCCCACGGTAAGCCAGACCGACAATTTCGTCAAGGCCAAAGACTCCGAAACATCTCAATTCCGAGACTGACACTGCACCTGCCCGTTTCTTCATACCCGACACCGATTTTCCTGTCCTCAAAGTATAAACGAGACGATATAGCGACGCCCCGTAATGTTCGAATGCAACTCCCAGTTCACCAATTCGTAACCTCCTGCCGGAAAAAACATAAAAACAATGTCAACTCCCTAGTCGATGCCGTCCCTTCAACACCTGTGACCTTGATTGTATCACTCGGCTCTCGCCAGATCCGAGTGCCCTGTAGTGTTCGCGCCGTCTTCAACTCGAGACATGAGTTGCCAAAGACCGTACTCGCCAAAGATACCGACCGCAATGCACGTTTACCTCTGCGCCGTCCCAAATGCAACTTTAAATCCTGCGCCTTGTTGCGACTCCTAATCCTTGGTGAGCGGACCTTTCTAACCCCAGACACTAGCAGGAGCACCGAGACCGGACGACTGACCCCAAACACCATTGCCACGTCCCCAGCCACCAGGAGAGGCAAGAGGAGTGGTGGATCGCTTTGATGAAGCTGAAGTTGTGGGTGTACCAGAAGGACGAGTTCCAATGGGGGCCACAGAGGCACCAGCCTGGTTGGGCTTGGAACCAGGATTTAGATCCCGAGAGGGAGAGCCGCCGGTTGGGCTGGATGTACTTGTACGGCTTTGGTTACCCACAGCGTTGTCAAAGACTTTGTTTGTGGGTCCAGCAGCCTGTGGGCTGACTGTGCTGTGAGGTCGCGAGTTGGGCTCAGTGGGAGGACCGTGGGCATCACCACCAGAGACGGGAGTGCCAGTCTCGCCAGTAGGGGGAGCACGGCCTACACTATCATAGGCAAGAGGAGAGTGCCCACGGATGCTTGAGGGACCGCTAGGGACAGGGGCGCCTGTGCGGACATTACCAGTCTCATCCACGTATCCTGCCTTGTCTGCAAAAGGACCCTCGCCATAGAGGGCACTTCGTTGACGGGCAATCAACTCTCGCGTCTCCTCCTCGGACATGTGCTTGTTGGGCGGCAGAGGCACCTCGGAAAGGACGGCTACGTAGAAAAGCTGTTAGCCCATGCTCAACAAACTCGACGATATTACATAAATGCTGCTCAAAATTGGGAGGGAAGAAACACGAGCGGCGTCTGGGCCAACGACATTTTCGGTCGCCCATGACCACATTATTTTTCTCTATATGCCATCTTGTTTCTTTGTCATAGTTGAATGTGCTACACAGTAGAGGGAGGCCTACTTCGCTGATATTGCTGCTCTGTGTGCAGGTTTCGAAGCTCTCGCTCCCGCTGAGCTGCCATCCGTCTCTTAGCCTGCATGACCTGCTCTGCCTCGTTGGAGCCTCGTGAAGGTTGATGACGCTGGTTTGCGTAGAAGTTCTGCAGATTGGGTCCCTGACCACGGGCGTCATCAAAGTTGTTTACCGAGTGCGGGCGGGGGCCGGGGGTGTGATGGGAACCACGGGAGTCTGCATGATCTTGTTAGTATGCTTATTGGGACACTCAACCAGACCAGTTCATCCGTTCAAGTCGGAACCTTTGGCAGGCTTAGTAGCGCAGGATAGAAAACTCACGGCGACCACCCATTCCATAGCCCTTACCAGACTTTTGCAAGTTCTCGTATGCTCGATCGACCTCTAGAATTGGGTCAGTTTTGTTCATTGGATAAGTCGAGTCTTGTTCGGGTTTCGAAGATGCCAGCCAAGTCGTTGGCTTCAAGGACAATTGAACTCGACAAAATCTCTGGGCGTGCTTCATCACATACCATCGAATTGATACGAGAAGGCGTAGTCATCCTGGGGCTGGGGGCCGCTGGCGCCTGCACAAATCAATGCGTTAATTACAATTCTATATCGGTCGATCGTGAATCTGGCGTACCTGCGCGGACCGGAGTAGTCGAACCCTGGTGCTCCCAGTTATTCTGCTGGGTGCTGGGAGTAGGAGACGACCACTGGGCCTGAGGGTTGTCGTAGTAGGACATGTTGCAATGTTCTTGGGGTTGTGGGGAAAAGCGGGACGTAGACGATTCGACTCGGGCTCTTTCAAATCTCGGATGAGGATCTATTGGCAGAATGTGTGGTCAGTTTGGTGTTGTTGCGGAATGTTGACGACAGAATGCGACGGCGATGTGCAGCGCAATGCGAGAGCGGTGCCAGAAACAAGGGCAATACGAAAGGTGATGAGGAAATTTGCCGCTGTGGCCGACGTCAAGATGCGCACCATCGGCCAGCTAAGACATGGATCCATCAAAAAGCACCACCCAACGCTCCGGGGCCCCTCGTCGCAACACGTTGACAAATCGACCGTAATCCTGTGCGTCGAGGTCTCGACTCACCCAAGAGAGATAAGAATATGATTAAGCTTCGTCGGTGACCTTTTGCCGCTTCGTTGGGAAAGTGAGCGCAAGGCAAGGTTTACGTTTACTCGCCACGGGCCGTATCCTCGGGAATAAACCACGCGAGGGTCTCGGAGGGACGGAGAAAAAGTGCGAAGGATTAAAAAAATCGCAAGAAGTCGGTGACGAGACGGGGGACGAGTTTAACACGACGGACCGGAAGAACGCTTGTCGAGACCAAAGCCGCTGCAAGGCAGACGGAAAAATCGAGGCGGAGGACGAAATAGGAAGAGGTACCGTGAAGGTAGGAGGGAGAAGGGAAAGGGAAAAGGTGGTGGTGGTTTAAGATGATGAACGACTCGTCGATTTGGACAGGGCGTGACGGGATAGGTTGGGTTAGGATTGAATGGGGGGAGAAAAAAACCAGGGCCGAGCGAGCGGGAAAGGAGAAGGAGCAAGCCTAGCCTGGCTTCTCTCGCCCATCAATCAATCAAATCAGGAAGTAGCGTCGTGCCGTGGGGAGTGGACAGTGGAAACTCACTGGACAGGAAGGAACAGGGCATTTCGTTGTGGGCACAGGCCGGAGAGTGACTTTTGGGGGCTCGTAGTTGGCAGGTGCCAGTGCAGTTGAGGCCTGAGGTGCGGGTAAATTGAGTACATGAAGCAAAGTATCGGCTGTTTTACGGCATGCAAATCATGACGGTTCATTGTATGACAGCCTGGCCAGGCTAAAGGCGGAGTACATGAACTGCTTGTACCTCGTTTGGCAGAACTAAAGGTACAGGCAATCACAGTGCAGTACCTTCCATACTTGCCAGTACCTAAGAATACTCGATCCATGAGATTTTTTGCCATGTTGGGGTATAAACGAGACATGCATTCTGTGACCGGATCTACTATTCCGATCAAAAGCAAAGCTGGCATCTCTTCTCTCACTTTTATTCTGGTGTTTCCCCAACCATTGCACTTCTTTGCCTGCTAACGAAGAAACAACAGTAGCAGTACTGGTCTTCAACATCCCCTGGCATAGAGGCTAGAGCTTGTCGCCCGTTGTCGGTTGAACGCCCAGGCGCCGGGCCCAATCCTCTTTTGATTCGATAACGGGGCTAATAACGGAGTGTGAAATGACGACGTGTGGGGGGTGCCATTTCTCGTTTCTTGGCCCTTTTGCCAGCAACGCAACTCCACGCTCCACGATGCCAGCAGATGATGTCCACGACGGGTGGGTTGCCAGTGCAGCTGAAGACAGAGAAGCACTGTGCCACTTCACCGATCCCGAAGCATGAGGTTATCATCAACTTCAAACAGAGTACACCTCATTCAACGTCTCCCTCCCTCATTGATGGGCTTCTACCGGAATCTGCAACAACTCAATCCAATTGCACTATGGTCCTAGCGGGAAATCACTGGACCCCGAGATAACAGCACTTATCCAGCACCCTTCCCGGGCAGGTTTATCCCGGTCTCTCACTAAACCTCGGCCGAAGCTCATCGCGCCATCCGCGGGCTTCCAGCGCTCCAGTGCTTCGCGGTCTTCTGGGATGCACAGGGTCTTTGCCTGCTCCATGCGTGTATCAAAAGCACACAGACATGACAAACCTCTCTCGTGAAGCACGGTTCAGGTACAACAGCGCAAACTTGCATGGGAGATGAACCAAGACGGGTCGCTTAGGGATGCACCTCATCCTGTAAACTTGGCGCTCCAGGTATTACAGTGGGTTAACACTGGCAAAAGACGCAGATAAGTTTCGGATCGGCAATAACCAGTACAGATATATCCAAACATGAATCGCATTAACGCAATATCATCAATGGATGTTGCACAGCTTGCCAAAGCCCACTTACAGTATCCTCTGCAATCAAAGTGCGTGTTTCCACATCTTGGCACGTTCTCCTTCCCCTTTCTTCAAAGTTAACATCAATCGGGGGTATTGTCTTTTACATCTACAAACGAGCAAGCCATCATCTTGATATTGTGGATACGCAAATTACCTTTATTTGAGCGTACCCCTTTTCCCGGGATTGCAGTCTTGACTTGACCAGTGTTGGGGGTTTTTAGCGGGGTGCTCTTAAGACGCCGATTCATTCCATGGGTTCGAGCTGTGGATTACCGCCAGCCAAAGTCACCTGAATCACACCTCCAACTCTTGAGACTTGACATCTGCAATTCGCAGCAGCAGTGTTTGAGGAACAGATTGTTTGGGTTACAAACTTACGGTTTATGGGTTGCAGTCGTACCTGCGAGGGTACCCGATATGACATGGTTGTCGGCAACTTGACGTCGGCTGAACATTAAATAGCGTGCATGGAGCTTGAGTAACCAACGGACGCGGACGGTTGCAGAAAGATATCACGCATATCTTTGGGATGGACCGCAATACCTGTGACAAGAAACATGGCGCTGCAGCATGTTTCAATTGCGTATGGATATCTTGCTGTAGCTTCAGCTTACACCCGAAACATAAACGAGACTGGCCAGAACATTCAGAAAGTCTCAAAAGTGAGCACTGTGTCACAAGTTGGAATGGAGGATTGCTTTGCAAATTAATTGCGGCGTTCGGGCCGTTGTCGATTCTCGCGATTGGAAAGCTGTCAGCCAAAGACGGACCTCCACTCAGAATGCCCTCCACCACCCGGTCACGGCGCATGTCAACATGGTTCGATTCTGATGATACCCTGCCGGTCGTTGGGCGTTGAACCTCTGACGCTCTTATTCCGCCTGGAAAATGGACCATGGAATAGTCCCTTTGTTTTCTTTCGTGTGCCATCATCATCGTGATACCACAAGATCGGCGCCCGTAGACATCCGGCACACCAGGCGGCACTTGGGTCCCGGTATTGGGCCCGAAATGTTCGGGATGGTCCCCAAGATTCCATTGACGATGTTTAGGCTCAGTTATCTGAGACCTGGAGTGAGACATCCCCTGGGATGAGATCTCGAGCCGGCTATCTTAATTCTGGCTTGTGATCCTTCTCCCTGCTGTCGGCTCTGATGCCCGTGCTTTAGCGAAGATGACCAGAAGATACTTCGTTAGGCATGTCATCTTTACGATACGTCTGCTCTTCGTTCAGCTGCTGACGATATTCCAGTTGGCATTCTGGGCGACAGGGATCTAAATGGACAGCCCCAGATGGGCGGACAGGCTTGGCCAAAAGGGTCCACCACCAAGGGAAGTCCACCTGTCATCGCGGGCAGGTCGTCACAGTCTTCCAGAACATGCTTCAGATTGACTGGTCTGTCACTTGATAAGCCTTCCGGTTATGCAGCAGCAGGCAACGGCTGTTACATGGTGACGCACAACGCATGTAAGGTCGGTCCAACGCGAAAGTCTGCCTTGTGACGACACCGGGCGTCGTTATGTAACCCACAGAGGTCGCTCGGTACGGCGACACCAATTCCATTTCCATCTCTACGCCACAAGAGTCGCTTTTAGCCAGCCAATATGCGAGAACTATATGGGTCTGCCTGCCCAACTTTGGCAATTGACTATCGAACCTTTGTCATCTTCGGGTAAGCGTCCCAAAAGGTGAGCTTCCCCAGACTGTTGCCCCGCGGCTATTGGTTGAATTGACCGCATGTTGGACTCGTCAGCACCCATCATGTATTCTCGTCACCCGACGTTTCTGCGAATTGCAACTGTACTTACCATTCACGTTTCAACGTCATGAGTAATCTTTTGAGACTCATTACCAAGGTGCACAAACATCGCCATTCGATATTGGTTCATTCATCAGCAAATGCCATTTCCCGGAGAAAATACCTTATTCTTCATGAGTTACCGTGCCGCAAGTATGCATGAATCGTGGACGCTGCCACCGATTAGTCGCCCATGCATTTCAGGAGCCCCCAATCTTTAGTCATCCAACAAAGGTATAAGTCGCGTGTTTTTTTGCGTCTGGTAAGGCCCATCAGTATTCAGTTAGACCAGCTCATCTATAGGACTGCTGTTCAAGAGATACCAAAGCCTAAGTCAGATATTCACATATGCCAACTGGTTTAACAAGCTATCCTATGATCTAGTCTTCCATCGCTCTGTCGGCATATGCTATGAAGAAGACGTAGCTACTGGCAAAGGGCTTCTAGTCTTCTGTGCAAAATTTACTCCAAGAATCTGAAGGCTCTTATGTCTTCGTGGTCCTCAGCACAATACTCCGTGAGACCTGATAGCTCAAAAGTAGGTGTAATGGCCAAAGTTCCTTGGCGGAAACATTGTATATCACGCACCTTGCAGGTAGGAAATGTCCCTGGTCAATGCCAGACAGAAGATTCAGAATCCCTTGTCAGAAGACGTGCTGGACGACGTAGCATGAAACTACCTTTCTACCATGACCTATTTTCCCCCTTCGTACGATGTCGTGGTCTTCTCATGTCGTATCTTCTTCCTCAAATGCTCTTCAGTACATTTCATAAGATTGTTGAGCTATAATTGAGTGTTTCGAAAGCTACATGTCATGGAAGCAATTCCTCTGGTGGCACGGAATATTGAAATTGCCATCTTAGTAGGAAAGCCTACAGAAATGTCGCATGCGTAAAACAAGCTTATTTCTATCCCGGACATAGTCAAACTCCCAGCGATGTTTGAAGTTGAACGGCCTGTCACTTCACAAGACTCGGCATCAAAGCATATGCATGATCACAGCTGCACGCTTGGGCATGCACTACCCAAGAGAAATCGACGAAACATCAAATATCACAAGATAATCTTGTACTTCTAACCTAGTATCCCAGCTCCAGTATCCATCCCATACCCCCAGATCAACTCCCCTGCTCAGAAAGCATGACCCATCATCATCCTCATAAAATCCATCATCACCAACGAGATCAACTCCCGCAATGGCCCACTCAGAACATTCAAACTACACTCATCCCCCTCCGCATGTTGAATAAGCTCACTCAGCACCATATACGATTTGTCACAAATTGGGCAAAAGAATCCTCCCGGCCTAACACAGGGAGCTCCCCGGTCAGCCAACGTCTGTCCGACGGCAAAGATATCTATCTCATTCACATCAGGGATACATCTGCCTCTTTCGACGTGCTTCATCATTGTGGATGCTTTTTCGAACTTACGATCGCAGGTGATGCAGTCGATATTCTTGTTGGGGTTGGGATTACGAGCTGCTTTTTCTTTCTGCTTCTCGTGGTGTACTTGTGCGGGGACGGCGAACTCAAGCCAGTGGTTGAAATCTCTGACGACGGTATCGATAATCTTGGATTTGGACTGGTGATTCTAAGGGAGCTGAGTCAACAGTGCTAGCTATGGATAAAAAGGCGGCTTACCTGGAGAGCGGATCGGGTCGTGAAGTACGCATGACATGTGATGCAACGATTATGAGCCTCCACCTCATGATTCATGCGTTCCGTGCCAGTTTCGAAAGATTTTCCACAGCTGAAGAGGCACTCTCTTAAGAAATACTTCGCCTCGAAAAAGAAGGGGAATGCATTTGCATCAGGATAATCCTTGCAGACGGTGCGCTTGGGGCCATAGGATTCATCCTTTGCGATCTTGGCTTGGACATCGACAACGGCTGGGTGGCTGATACTGTGGACATGCCATTGATGTGCAACTAATGACATCTGAGGGAAATACTCGTTGCAGTGCGTACAGAGGGTTGGGGGGCCTCTATCATCATCCATATCGATATCGGAATCATCTTCGTCATCGTCATCTGAAAAACCAGGATAGCCAAAGTCCGGGTCATCCGAGTCGTATATATCGCCAGGTTGAATACCAGCCGGGAAGTCGAACTGGTGTCGTCCAAATCCTCTGTGGCCTGGGTATGAGAAAGGATCATCATCATCATAGTCTTCATAATCCTCGTCCTCATAATCATCACCATCACCGCCATCGTCACCAAACGGCGGGACTGCCATTCGCAGTAGTTGTCTCATTATATCGTCCTCTGAGTATCTCGGCCTGTGCATCTCGGGGTGGCTGTCTCGCTGATGCTGACGAAGTGCAGACGCAAGACGGAAGGTCTTGTTGCAAGGTCTGCATCTAAAAGTTGGGTTTTCAGGCACACCTTGCTTTGAGTTTGTGGGTTCGGTTTCGACGATGCCATGCTTGTTGAGTTTGTGATCCGCAAGTCCCTTAGCGTGGCGAAATGTCTTTTGGCAGGTCTGGCAATAGGGCTTATCCTCATCTTCATCCCCGTCAACATCTTCTGCCTTCTTACCTCCAGCAGTTGCGTTTGCTCCTTGGCCTGAACTCTCTGCAACAGTATCGTCTGCCACAGCATGCTTGATGAGCCCATGCTGCACGAGGGCTGATTTGAAACGGAAGCTCTTGTCGCAAAGCGTGCATTGATGCATGTTTGGGGCTTTCTTCTCTTCCGTCGCGGTCTCTTCGACGAGCTCTGGCGCCTCACTCTCCTCATCCGAGCCATCTTGCCCATTTGATACTCTCATGCCAGAAGCAGCCAACGCCATATTCTCCATTACCTTTCTCATGGCTTCGAGACGTTGCTCTGCTTGATGCTTCATAAGCGCATCCTCGGATGGGAAGTTCTCATTGCAACATAGGCACTTGAACTTCTGAGATCCAGCAATATGCCGCTCCTTCAGCGTCGTATGCACTTGCTTCGAGAAGCCAGCTGCCTTGTTACCTTGCGCAGAACTCTTTGCTGGACCCTTGCCTTTCTTATCCGAAGTATGCTTGCTCTTTAGGTGCCTTCGGAGTGAATTTCGGCTGGTGAACGACTTGTTGCAAACATCGCACTTGATTGTCCTTTCCTCGTCATCTGGAGCCTTGTCCTCTTCCTTGGCAGGAGTCTCGGCATCCGTTTTGACAGTGCGATGCTTGGTTCTCTTGTGCTGGTACAGCGCACTTCGATGGCTGAAAGACCTATTGCAAATTGAACAGATGTTCTTACTTTCCTGGCTTTTATCGCCCTGGTTCACATCTTCTTGTTTGGCAGAAGTAGATGCCTTATTCGCAGTGGAGGCTTCTGCCTTAAGCTCCGCAGCTTGAGCTTGTGTGGCAGAAGTAGCTGGGGCTTCAGGCTTCGGAGGGCCATGCTTGCTCCGTTGATGCTGTGTCAATGAAGATTGACGCGGAAATGACTGCTTACAAAGCTCGCAATCAAAAGTGCTAGCCGCTTCGCCATCTTGTCCTGTCCCAGACGCGTCTGCTTCTACTTTTTGGACAGGATGTTTGCTCTGCCGATGTCGCCTGAGTGAGCCTTTGTGGGGAAACGATTTGTTGCAGATATGGCAATTGACGGGCTTGGCTTCAGGCTTTGCAGCTGAAGCTTCTGCAGGATTATCATCAGCCATTTTGGAGAGAATGATTGAAGAACAAGAGACGCGTACGCCGTGAATTACAGAATTGGAGAAGGAGACGGTGGACGACGCCTTGAAATGGGATTGCAGAAGCAAATAAATGGAAGCGGATCAAGAATAAAGCGTCCAAGTTGATTGGTCAACAAGCGCCACCATTGAACGTCTACCGTTTCAACGGAGCAACCGCTATAAATAACGTCAAATGGAAGTGAAGCGAAGCATTCAGAACGAATCTGAAACTGACGACATGAAAACACAACTGATTTCTTCTTTGAATCCTCATTTTTTCCTCAAGTGAGGTCTACTGATATGATGACATCGCTCTCTGGCCCTGGGCTACATAATACGCACAGATCCAAGCCTTGCTCTTCCACCGAGGACAATGGTTTGGATGGAAAAATACCTAATAGATTGAAAACAGACAAGGGAAAAGAACTTATTTCATACACCGACAACCATAGCATCCTCAAGAAATCGAATTCAAAAGACCCAACACCAACCTAAAAATGCTCACCCTCAATCATACGCCACCTCACCTCAGTCAGAAAAGCCTTCAACGGGCCCCGGCTAACTTCAGCACTGCACTTGTCCCCCTCTGCGTGGCGAATCAAGCTGCTCAGAGAGTCGAAACGCGCTTCGCAGCTCGGGCACTGGAACTTGTCATCAGAGTAGCATCTCGATACAACGCTCTGATCACTCGTGTCGATAGCCCATTTGATAGAGCGAGCATCAATGTAAGAGTGACATTCGCGCATCTCCACGTGCTCCATCATCTGGGAAGAGGTTCTGAACTTCTTCCAGCAGGTTATGCAGGAGATCTTGTTCTTTTTGAAGGACCACGAGTTTATCTCCCTGAGGTCATTCAACATGTCGTCTTCGTCGTAATTGTCAAAGTTCTGGAAGTCCGAGTATGAGAGTGATTCTTCCGAGATATTGTCCTGGTCAAATAATGACAACCAGGTGTCCTCGTGCGTTTTCTCCCAGTGCTTTACAAGCAGATGCTGGTTGCGAAAGGGTTCGTCTCAGGGCCTGCATCTGTATCCTGATATAACCTTCTTGATCGGAGCATCAGCCTCTGTCGTTGGCTTTTCAGCCGACTTCTCGACTGGCTTCTCGACTGGCTTCTTCTTTAATCCTCTGCAAGGGCCATGGCCGAGCTTCTTTTCGTGCTTGGTGAGCATAGCAACAAAGTAAAACGCCTCGCTGCAATCCTCACACTTGAAAGGTGGTGGAGGAGGTCCCGCAACAGGCTTCTCAGCTGGCACCTCAACAGGCTTCTCGACTGGCCCCTTTTTCGATTCTGTGGAAGGGCCGTGTCTGGTCTTCTTCTCATGCTCAAGACGCATGGCCACGAAAAAGAAAACCTCATCGCATTCAATGCACTTGAATTGAGGTGCAGGACGTCCTGCAACCGACTCCGGTTTCTTCTCCCCTGTTGCCATAGGCCCATGAGCGAACGTGTCTTGGTGCTCCGCAAGTGCAGCGTTGAAGTAGAACGCCTCGTCGCAGTCACTGCACTTGAATGGTGGTGGTGGAAGTGCCGCAACCTGCCTCTCGGCGGAGTTCTGTCCTGGCTTTTCAACGGGCTCCTGCTCCCTCTCGTTCTCTTCGTTGCTGTCTTCATTGCTCTTCTCGCAGTTCTCCTCGTCAGTCTCCCCGTCGGTATCCTCCCATTCATCCGGTGAAGGAAAACGATAGGTGGTTCTTATATGCTCTTCAAGCTCTTCATCGGAGTAAAATGTCTTGGGACAAAAGTCACACTTGCGTATAGTAACAGGTCCATCATCCGACCAGAGGTTATGGCGTATTACATGCTGTTCGAGCAGATCGAAATGATCAAAGGTCGACCTGCAGAAATCGCACTTCCCCCGTGGTGCAGGTGGGCCAGTGGGGACTTGTTTCTCTTTCTTCGAATGCTCCTCCTCAGCTGCAATCTCTTTATTACCACCACGTACCTCTGCACGCTCTGTTTTTTCCATGGGGTGCTTGGCGTCTTCATGTTGTACAAGTGCGGCCCTAGAACGAAAACCCCTGTTGCAAGGTATGCATTTGTGAACTTTGGCTGCAGGGGGATTCTCTTCTTTTCTCTTTGTGGTCTCATCCGTTGGATGGCCAGGTACATTTGGGGTCGCGTTCTGAGCCGAACTTTCTGTAGGAGACTCATCTGTCTTCTCATAAGCATGTTTATTCCTATAATGGTCTGAGAGTGAAGACTGGTAAGTAAAAGACTTGTTGCACAGTTTGCATTTGAGCTTTTTCAGCTTCTGGCCTTTCTGCTCGTATTTGTCCTGTGGCTCGATGCTATGCCGGTTCCTATTATGGTTGTCAAGCGCAATTTCTTGGTCGAAGGACTTGTTGCAAGGGGAACATATCAACCAGGCCGTCTTAGATTCCCAATTTTTAATATCCTGCTTCAAGTCGTTCAGTTGGCTGAGGAATTCACTGTCATCGATAGCTGAGTTTGGTGCCGTGGATCTTCCCTTTGCGTCTTCAGTGAGTACTCTAGTCTGAGTGACTGGTCGCAGACTGCGCATTTGAATGACTTTATGGCCTCGTCGCCTTGCTTTGATTCGACGTTGTCTATGTCTGTAAAGCCATGTTTATCCAGTTGATGTTGCATGAGCGCGGTTTCGCCAGGAAAAGCATTAGAATAAGGGCAGATATAGCATTGGGCTACTTTCACTCCAGCTGAAACGAGACTATTGCCGGACATCGCTTGAGATTTGGACATAATGTTCTGATGGTGTTTGGGGAGTCAAGAGATAGTTACATTGCAGGTCAATTGAGATAACGTCATGGTAAATGGGGCTTGGTATCAGGAGCAATTAATGGAGTCGGATGAAGTTAAAAGCGTAAGATGTGATTGGTCAATCGAGTCTGGCACGAACTCTAATTAATCCGTCTCGAACATGGAAACTTCGCGAATCATAGTGGAAGCCATCGGCATAGATTCACGAGTCATAATTATATTCGCTGACAGTTCTATGGTCTAAATGAGAAGTAGCTGTGAACATACCTTTACCATGTCTTCCTCCAGGCCTACATATATCGAGATCGTGACGTCGCCGTGATGCGGACCGCCCAGCTTCAGGGTAGGTAACCGGGTTCGTCGACTCTACGCAAATCAATCATGGTTCTAGAAACTCCATGTCTTTAAATACTCTGTATAGCCTGTGCGGGCTCGGAACCTCTAGCGATTTATATTGCAACGCGGCTACTGGTGGAATGTAGGTAGTATTTCACAAAAGCCCTCATACAAAGCCACCTTGACTCAATAACAATAAAATATCGTAACATGGCAGCCAGACATACCACGCCAACATACAAACGCCTTTGAACCCAGCCTTGACCCTCAATCGTGTATCTTGGCTCACATTTGAGTCCCATGTCTCTTCATTCTCAGCTGAGCGTTCAATATCAACCCCCTCTTCTCGTGTGCGGTTCAGGCCCCAAGTTCCTCGCCTCCAGAATGATGTCTGCAACAACAACTTCCTATTCATCTGTCGCTCAAAACACTTGGTTCGGTTCCCTATTAGATTGAAATAGAATGCACAAGAAAGAAGAAGTCCCGTCTCCCAACCGTTGTAGCGCCATTAGCTGGCCGACTGCAAGAGACATAACGCCAACTTAAAACAGTACCTCTATTATACGCCATCTCACCTCACTTATAAAATCTACCAACGGGCCCTGACAGATAGATAAACTGCACTTTTGGCTCTGCGCATGCAGAAGCAGATCACTTAGAGCCAGAGAGGTGTGATCGCAATGGGGGCACTGAAACTTGCCCTCAGAAGTGTAGAATCTCGATACCACATTCTGATCGCTATTCTTGATAGCCGATTTGATCGAATCGGTATCCAGATAAGTGTGGCATTTCCCTGTTTCCACGTGCAGCATCATCTTGGACGATCTCCCAAACGTCCTCCAGCAGGTAATGCAGGGAACCTTGCCCTTCTTATCTTTGGGCTTTGCTTTGTTATCGTCGTCGAATAGCGACAGCCACGTCTCGGCATGCGCGCTCTCCCAATGCCTTGCAAGTAGGTCCTGAGAATCGAATGGCTCGTCGCAGGGTGTGCATCTGTATCCCGACTTTACGGTCTTCTCGGGAACTTTGGGGGTATCCTGCTTTTCGAGATGATCATTGGGATGTCTGAGGACACAACTATGCTTGTACCACATATGATCGGTGAACCATTCCATCGTACGAAAGGCCTCTTCACATACCTTGCACTTGTACGCCAAAGTGACATCGTGTTCATGCCAATTCGCTGCGGTTTGCCCATCATACCGCTTCTTGAGGGGCTCTTTCCTCTTGCTTCCATCCCAATAAGGACCATGGCTGAGAAATTCTTGATGTCGATCAAAACTAGTGAAAGTGCGAAACACTTAAGGACAGAAATTGCATTTATACATGTGTGCCAAACGTTCTAGAGCTGCCTTGCCCATAAGCATCCTCATCCATTTTGCCCAAGGGGTGCGGCAGAAGTATTCCAAGTGCCTGTAAAGCGCATCAAAGTCGTAAAATTCACCTACGCAGTCCTCGCACTCAAGCAGTGATGGCTCAGATTCAGTGGCGTTGTCATTCTCGTTGTTGGAAGTTTTGTCTTCGGTCTTCTCAGACTCGGCAGCCTCCTGCTTTATATTCTGTTTCTTTTGAGAGTCGACGGAGACATTTTTAACTGAATCATCTGCAGGCTCTGCCGTTGTCACGACGTGATTGTCGCGTTTGTGTTGTTTGAGTCCACCTTTAGTACGGAAGACTTTGTTGCAAGGCCAGCATTTGTGAACTTTAGCCTTCTTCTTGGTGTTCTCTTCCGTGGGATGGTCTACTTCATCCGAGATTGGTCGTCGAATCGAAGGAGACTCATCTATCCTCTCGGTGGCATGTTTGCTCTGATGACGATGTTGTCTGAGCGAACTTTGGTGGGAAAAGGACTTTTTGCAGACATTACAAGTAGCCAGTTTCGCTTCCGGCTGCTTAGCACTGTCGTTGGGCATAATTGAGGTTTGTTTGTTGTTTGAAGAGGAAAATCCAAGTAAATTACTCCGCAAATTGGGGGATGTTATTTATCATCAAGAAAAGGGGTAACCAAAGCAACTATTTAGACAGGGCAATTGATTGGCAAGTCGGTATCACGGCAAACATCCAAAACTCTATTACTTCCACAACTTATTTCCGATAGTTTCAGTACGAAAACACGCGTTGGAGACAATAGCATAAGATTATTAATTGCATATGCGCGCTCTAGTCTAGAGTGTTGAATGCTAAGTTATATTGGGGAAAAGGACTTATCGTGTTCTCATTCATCACCTGTGTTTGCAGCCTAAAAGTAAGGTTAACCTTGTAGGCGGCAGTCATCCCCATAGTTGAATGCTAAGCATTTCCCATAGCCATGCATGCTGTAGTAATATTGACTGATTGATTAATTATTAGTTGAAGCTTGTGTCAGCTTAACAAGATATATCGAACTCTATACATAATAGTGTCTCTCACAGAAGAGCTTATATGAAGTCCTACGTTTATCCCACCAACTGTAGACTAGGACGTTTCGGAACTTGCACCAAAGCCTCTTTTAAACCACTTCTTTACCCTAATCCGTGTGCTTTGTCGCCTCTGAGCTTTCCCGTCAATGTCTGAAACTCCATCATTGGTAAGATCTTCTCTTGAGCGTTCCAGATCACAGCAGCTGAGTTCGCTAGCTTCCTTCAAAGGTAGTCCCAGAAGTCTCGCTTCTAGAAAGCCAACCCTTGCTTCATGAATTATGTTCGCAGAAGTCCCGTCCTGCCCTCCATTCATGTTCCTCTTCCAAAGCCAAACTCGGCTTGAATCCGGAGATACGGAGCCAATATAACCTGGTACTGCATCGATGAAGCCACATGCCTGCCGTCCTCTCGCGTTGATGTGTATTTCAGGATGAGACGAAGCAGCCTCATGCCGACTTAATTCGTCTGTGCTGGACTCGGGGTACTCGGAGTTACAGAACTTGAGAACCATTCCCGGGTCACGGTCTTTTTTACCCATGATGAATAGTTTGCCAATCCCAGCTCCAGGCAAGGAACCGCTGGGACAGCACCAGGCATGCTGCTCCATGAACTTACGCGTGGTGTGTTGGCGTCCTTGTCGAGACGCAACCTTGGCTTGTTCCTCGGAAATGTAGCTTGGGAAGCGCTCCCTGAGTTTGTCTTCATCGAAGGAAATGCTCATGTGCGATTTTAGTTGCTGGACCATCCACGCGAGAGGAGCATGCACAAGACCCTCGTGTTTCTCAATCTTGCCTATGTACCATGATCGCCTAGAAAAAAGACTTGGTGCACGTTGCGTCCGCATATGTAGGTCGGACTATAAGGGCTTCGTTTCTCATGTAAAGCCAAAGCATGAAAAGCATAGTTCACATCTGATTCGAGTATTAGTTCATGGCGAAGTCGGAAGTCCAGATCAATTGATCCCGGATATTCATGATACTCACTCTTTGGAACAGGGTCTATGGTTTTGGGTTGATACTTGTTTCGATGAAGGTAAGAGAGCGGCTTTGCAATGCCAAACAGCGGGAGGCCCAGTGAGCCAACTGTATCGAAGCAACACAAGGCATCGATTTTGACATCATCGTAGACTGTTGTATGTTAGATCAGTTCTGCGCAGAGGGGCTCGACACCAACATTTATAGGTGCCACGTACTTCATACTTATCGACTTTGGCAAGATATGGGTCATTGTCACATGCCTTGTATAAGCGCTTGTAAAACGCCCTGTCGCCATCACGAACTAGGCCGATGCGTTCAATGATGAGAGCAAGGTAGCGAGCAGCCCATGCACCTGGATGAGTTACAGTCGGCTTGTGTTTGAGGAAGAATAATGCTTAAAAGATGTCTAATTGACTTACCTCGCGAGTAGCCACAAAGGATAATCCTGTCTCGCTCGTTGTAGTCTTCGGCAATATTATCTAGCGACTGTCAATTTATGCAATACACAAACAGATTCGGAGCACCCACCATAGGCTCGGATCACGTTCCGGAGTGTGCCCCATCCACCAAGACCTGTACGAGGTCAGTCAGAGTTCCAGAAAAGTGGGAGCAGGCAGTAGGGCATACCTCCGAGAAACTTGTCTGTTAAACCGTCGCTCCCTACACCGTTGAGGCGGATCTTTCGAGCGTTTTCGCCTTTAGCGATGAGACGAGGCAGGCATGAGACCACGGTCTCTTTTGAACTCTTGCTACTACCATGCCATGTGCCTGGAGGGGTTAAAAATGTCAAACCTATCGCGGGGGATATATGCTCACCATCAAAGGCAACAAAGATCAATCCAGGCACACTGCGGGCTTCCTTTCGTTTCTGAGACCGTTTAGTCATTCGGGGAAAGATGTCCATGGTATACAAGTGTAGGTCAAGGGCTTGAAGTCCGTAACGTAGCAAACACGCAAAAGACTTGAGTCCTTTATGTCTAGGCTAGGACAACCTATATACTGCGACACGCAATAAGAATAGGCCCCGGGCTAATGAAATTGCCCGCAAAATAAGGTGTGGTTTGCGGAGAGTGTGAAAGGTGAATGATAGAGAGACCAATACAAAAGGACAATGGACAGCTGAGTGCGACGGCGTTTAAATAATCTTTGGCTGTAGGCGATGCTCCCTGTCTTCAGCTACTTTTCCAACTCCATCCCATGATGTCAATGGCACAAGGAGTTCTGGGCTCCCTCCTGCTTGGCTTGGGCCTGAGAGCCTTGTTGCAAATCCCTACAGTACTCCTTGATTGCACTTCTGCCTGGCTAGCTCATCAATATGACATAGGTGGAAAAGCCTCTTGGGGGCTGCTGTGTCTGATACGTATCAATCGCGGGCTGAAAACTACGAGCTTATGCACCAACCCATAGGTGGCGAAACTGGCCCCTGTCAACTGAAGTTTGCCAACCAGTGATTCAAGGCTGTGAGCTTCGCCTGATCTGAAGCTGCGAACGCCATACGTTTATAGCGCGTCTTGGCTGCATGTCCCTGAGCACAACATGTCGTATCTGCATTGCGCCGATGGCTGGACGTTGAGGCTATGCACGATACTCGCGAAATTGGCGCACCCTAAGAACCCGTTAGCCAGGAACAATGCTTTGTGCATAAACCTTGGTTCATTTTTCTCACTGCAAGCATAACTTGAGCGTTTGCGAACCATCTCGGAGCAGCGCTTCCTCATTTGAATGGCATGCATCTTGGATTGAACTTTCAACAACTTGGGGTACAAACACACTTTATTCCAGGTTCCCGCTCCTGGAGATACTCTCTGAGGATAATCCGCCCTGCTTTTAGGAATTCCTATTAATTCTGCCGAGAGCCTGAACGCCATAATTACCGCTGAGTGTTTGAGACGAGAAATCTTGCACTAGGATGATCGAGAAGGAGCATAAATCACACAACGGCATGCAAGATTCATGCGTCCTCCATTCCAGTTTGGGGAGAGGTACGGAGTATAGACCAAGAATAAAGGATTAAGTGATTGGCCGACTGGTGTTGGGACTAGCTCCAGACATTGTTGCTCGGCTCAAGTGGTTGGGGTAGCGGAACATTCACGATTGGCTTAGGAGGTCATCAAGTGCTTCGATTTATGTAGGTAGTGTCCGAAAAAACACACGCTCACATGATAGCCAAGTATTAAATAGAGCATTCACTAGCAAGGCACCTCGAGCTAAGATCGAACGTTTGGCGCTGACCCGAATCGAGTCCTGATGGACCCGCTACGGCGCTAATAATGGATAAGAGATGTGATCATTTCTGCCCAATCAAAAAGTCTACACTCAGGCGAGCCGGAGATTAAGTTTCCCCTTGCAAAAATCCAGGTACAGGTTTACTTATTCCCGACTGATCCATCATCAATCAGCATGGGTTACCTCACATACGAGTCTGATTCGTCAGTAGCGGACTTTGCCGTCTCCAAACAGGAATACCTCACCTCCCGCCCCGAAGTTTCCTTTGGATACATCGCAACCAGTTCCCTGGTCTTTGACACAAAAGTCACTTCCGAGCATCGCATTCTCCTTTTGCAGCGCGCTGAAACCGACGACGATGCCGGCAAATGGGAGCCTCCAGGTGGTGCCTGCGATGACTGGGATAAAACCATCTTGGGTGCTGCCGCACGTGAGCTGCGTGAAGAAGCAAGTCTCGATGCGAAATGGATCGGTGGCCCCGTGGACAAACCTCATTTCTTTACTCTTGACGACGGGAAAAGAGTATGCCAGTTCAACTTTCTGGTATGTGTAGACATGAGCAACCAAGCAGTGAAGCTATCTCCGGATGAGCATCAGCGCTTCGTCTGGGCTACTGAGGATGAGGTCAAGTCAGGGAAAGTGGGCGACATTAACATCAAGTTCACAAGGGACGAAGTTCAGCGAACAGTGTTGGTAGCATTTCGTCACGCGAGGAACACACGCATGGTACTAGAACACTTTTAAGGAAGCTACACGTCATCTAAACTTCTCTCTTCAACTTCATCTTCAGGGAGAGTATCTCTCGCCTGTCTTTTCATCAGCCCTTCGACAAGTTCTTAGCAGCTTGCGGGGTAAACATGCTTGGGAGCCATGGACAAAGACGGACAAAGAACCAACAGTTTCCATGCCCGAACATAGCGCTGACCCACCAGTGAGCACCGTGAGCATGCCTTGCAGGAATCGAACTTATATATGTAGAATAATATGATATATATCTCTGTTGGGTATATTTTGCTTATCAAATCTCGATGGTGGTTATAAATTGGTGCAAGTGTTCGCTCGCCCGACACAGGTATTGCTTACAACTTCTTCTATGTTCTTGGTAAGTTGTATCCATAGATCCTTTTCCATGTTGCCGCTTGACCCAGTCAGGCGTATTTCAGTTGATGCCGTTACTTTTGACGGTTTTGCTCTAGTCCCCTAGACATCTCTCGTCTCTTCGCGTTTGTGCAATGATCTCAAGTCCATCATGCAAATCCGAATACGGATGTTGGTTATTACATGCGGCGTTGACTTTAGCTACTTAGCCAAGATGTAAGTTGCCGCCTTAGTGGTTTTAAGCGCCGGCTTCGTACCATGTCCAACCGCTTTCAACCGCTTTGGGATGCATATGATGACTGAAGCAACCAACAATGCAAGTAAATAACCAATCACACCGTCTAAAAGAGGGAAAGTCTTTCGAGTAATTTCTCAAATTTGTTACTTGCAGGTTGCTGACAGGTCTGAGCCCAAGTACCAGGCCTTTTATCTCTACACTTTTCAGAAGTGTAAAAAGTCCCCTTGCTCTAAAGGCAATTGTGCCTTGTACCTTTTGAGATTTGTTCTTAAATTACTTCCACCCTCCACCTAGATTTGTTTAATGCTTGTACAGCTTGTCTGAAAGATACTACCTAACACCTAATCATCTTCATACCTCAATCAGACTGTCATTAAATCATGAGCGGTTTTCAACTTCCTTCAGTAGACGTGAGCGATCTGGATGAGTATGTTCCTTACTACATCGGGCATGGTGCGTACATCCAGAAGGTTGAAGAATGTCTGGCACTATACAGTGATCCCACAAAACAAGCCTCGTATCAGAAGGTAGCACACATGGTCAGGGAGAACTGTCAAAAGTTACTCGAGGAAACTGGTACAAAAGGTGTGGTGACTTGCAGAACCAAGACTTATGAATCGCTGAAAGCGAAGCTCAGAAGTATGGAGCATCATACTGATTTCACGTCTTGGGCACTCAACAACGACATCTTCCAACATCACGAAATGGGAGATCTCGCTGCTGTCCGTATCGGAGTATATCTACCCCAGGATGTCATCAAAATGGCGAGAGAATGCCAGCAACGGTTCAAAATTGCCCATCTTTTTGGTACTGTTGGTAGTGGCAGAGATGCTACTCGGGGAGACAAAATGAGCCTAGACAGCCATGGAAGGGGACCTTGGCGCTCAAAAGATCAATATGGATCTGATGAGTACTGGCAGCATTCTGGCTACAGATCCTGGCAGATGGTAATCAATTGGGAGGGAGGGTTTAGGGTCGAAATACAAATTGGAACAGTGGTTTCGCAGGCTTGGGCTGAAATTCAACACAACGTCATCTACAAAAGGCCTGACAATATGATGTCAACGCCAACCATGAAACGAATGATCGATGCTATCAATGGCCTGGCAATGACTACAGAGATCATTCTCAGCGAGCTGGAACAAAGCATCGAGACCGCAAAGCAGAAAGCACAGCTTCGCCGTATCACAGAGGAACAATACAACAGATGACCTGCCACAACCACACCTGACGTTTACTTATGGTTTGGAGTTTCGTATAAGTGCACGAGGTCTCAGGCCTCGGCTTAGCGCTGGGATGTGAAAGGGATTCGGTCCAAAAGATTGTCGACGTTTACGAAAAAAGAGCCAAGCACGACGATTAGGCTTCGTTCCTGACATGAATCTTTACCGTGGTGCGGACTTTAAGAGGATAGCCGACCAACGAGAACAAGCTGTTACACAGCAATGCTTCTGATGACACAAAGGGTGATACAACGCATTTTTCATCATTTAAGATTGTTTACAATCTTGAAATACGGGAGAAACTCGACATGCTGGAGGGGCCAAGTGGCAACAAGGACTTAGATTTGTTACTTACAATTGAGACTTATGGCTGAGAGCCCCTACCACCATAGAGAACTTGTGATTCAGGACTATGTGCATCATCAGGCACCTCGGAGCCATTTTACGCTGTTCAGTCATGTAAAGTTCACATCTGATGGCTCGTTCTTTAAGCCAATATGACGAAATGTCTAGATTCAGAGCCTAATCATAAGACACAGGAAAGAGTTCGTGATATGCATAAAACCGCCTTCCTGGAGAATAAGCCTGAAGGCTGGTCACACGTATCAGTTTCCGAACTTATAAATTAAGGATAATTAGATAAACGATTGCCTTATGTAGCAGGATGTATTACATGCTCTGTTTCTGTAACATGAATAATGCCCCAAAGCTTAAACCTCTATATGTTCTGAATGCTCCTGTAATGTAACGCTTCACTTCGCATCGTAACCTTCGCATCGTTCGCTTAACCTTCCTATGACTTGCGAATCAAAAAGCCTGTGATCAACGACTGAGTCTATTTATTCTCAGGCACGTGCGCAGGAGTTGGTCTGGGCGGATATGGCGCAAATATCACAGGTCGTGTAGTCGGTGTAACTCGAGTGACTGGGGTGATTTCTCATTTCGTGGGGACTCTTTCTGCCAATACTAGGACGAACTGCTGATATGTACTTCCTTGCGTATTTCCATGTTCACTGGTATAGTTGTTTGGATGCGCGTTGGAGGCTGGGGATCGGCTCTGGCTTTGCCGGTAGTGGATGTACAACGGAGGGTTCAACAACAGGTGACTGGATGATGGAGGGCCCGACTTGATGGGTCTCACGGTGCTAGGAAACTAATCAGCAAACCTGGGCAGTAATACAAAGGTCAGAGCCCTCACCTGTTTGAGTTCCGCACTCGACACGAAGAACCGGTAGCAAACAGCACACCTATTGTGAGCCTCAGTATCGTGCTGTTTTTTGAGCTCAAAGGTCTCAAACACCCGCCCACAGTGACCACACGCCATGTGGTCCAGCCACAAATGGTCACACAGCTCCTTTTCCGATGCAAAGCGGACTTTTGGATCACAGTGGTCGCAGAAGAACGTTCCGGGTTTTGCAGAAAGATTAGACATGACGTGTTTCTGCTTCTTGGCTGGACTGGTAAACTGTGTCTTGCAAGCACAACAGTATGTGTGTCCGTGTTTATCTCTGGTGCATCGTCAGCCCAACTTCTTGGTCAAAGCTCTTTCGACAGACATTGCAGTAGAAGTTCGACGGCTTATTCTCCTGTATCGATGTTCTGAGAGTGGCGAGAAAGTCTAGTAGGCCTGTTTCTTCGATCCAGTTTCGTAAAGTGCATGCTCTTTTTTCGAAATGTCTGAAGACGTGGCCCATGCGACGGTACTTCTTGTCGCAACTAGGGCATTGGAGGTCGATATTCCGAGTTGAGGATGGGTGGAAACGCGCACAATGAGTTGCTACAGCACTGCGGACAACCTGAACGGTGCAGGTTGATTTGCACGCGCCGTGCTCAAGATGATCCATCATTCCTGAATAGGTTTTGAATCCTTTCTTGCAGCCGACACAGCAAATTGGGGTGTCTGTGTGGGTAGCCTTGTGCTAAGAAATCGGTCAGATCAGAAAGTCTACCTGTCCAAGCGAATGAACTCACTTGGAGTAGCTCTGACTCTGTTGGGAAACCTTCATCGCATGCGAGACATAGGTTGCCGTAATGCCACTTCGAGAAATGTAGTTCTTTTCCCTCCTCGCTTTGGAAATATTTACAGCATTCGCTGCAAAAGGGATAGGGGGCTGCCGCGTTTGCTTTTGAGGTTGAGAGATGATGACCATGACCCTGAGCAACTTTGGGGTTTGACTCGCGCACCTTCTTTACTTGCACGTCGACCATTATGCAATCATCATCGGAAGATGAAATATCTCCTTCTTCGAGCTTGAGGCGCTTGCGCGCACGCCCCATTATGGCAACAGGTGATGCAGTTGTAGTCTCAGTGGTTTTGGTAGGCGTTGTTTGAGTGTAACGGGGAGAAGAAAGAGTTTGTGTGGAGATCGGTGATGTTTTTGTGAGCGTTGCCAATAAATGAACGTTGCTTTTTCTGATGAGGATGTTTGTGATGGTAGTCTGTCGTTGGGTTGGGTGCTCCTGCCTCGTTCAACACGGTTGCCAACAGAACAATCAATCAATACCTCAGGCAGCATTTATCAGGTCGTGCTTCCCTAAACCCCGCAGAGATCTCTATGGAAGCCTCATTTATGTCAGAGCTCAGGCAAAGTATTTGGGAAACCCGTGATTGTAGGATTTGGGTCAAGATCATCCAAAGCGCTCGGAACCTAAGTCTCTTTACCACTCACTATCGTTTCCAACTATCCCAACCAACCCTTTCCCTAGCTCTGCTTGCGAACCAGCCGCTCATGCCTTGGAAACCAGAAAACTAGTAGTCAAACTCTGGCTCGTACCCATCTGGATCTTCTTCCTCTTCGGCGCGGCCTTTGCTACAGCGCTTCTCGGTAGATATGTCTCGAATATAACCGACGCTTGAGCTGTCGCACACTTGATCCGGGACCCTTGGGTTTTTGCGGGAGGCTTGACCTCCTTCGGAGAAGCAACTTTCTCCACAGGAGTTTCCGGGCTTGCCTCTGATTTAACCTGGGTAACGGCGGTCGGAATGGAAGGAACCGTTGGAGGAGAAGTGATCGTTGGAAACTCTTTCTTCACAGGTACAGCCGGAACCGTCGGCAAGGCCGGTTTGACCAGAGTAAGAGGGTTGACCCCATGAAGCTCTTTGTAGTGCTGCCAATTATGTTAGAAGATTCAAATTGAAGCAAAGAATACTTACCTTGCATAGGTCATCTGGGCACATGAAGAACTGGAAACAGTCAGGGCATCTATGATGAGCCACAGCCCCGTGAACCAACCGTTCCTGCTTATTGTCGAAGTTCAATCCACAAGGCGCGCATTTGTTATGGAAGTGCCACATATAGTCGTTGTAATGCTTTTCCATATTCAAAGCAATCGAGGGCTGGCACATGGCGCAGACGGAAGCCCGAACTTTGATCGGCGTGCGTGAGATGATATGTTTATGCCATTCTTCCGTGTCGCGAAAAACCCTATCACACGTTCGGCAGAGGGTGTTCTCGTGTTGATGTCGCAGGTGATCAAAAAGACCGGCTTCAGAGTCGAACAGTCTTTTGCACATGTTGCAAGTCCTGTTGGCCACATCGATTTCTTGCTTCACTTTGAAGAGGAGATGACTCAGGCCCGTTGCTTGTTGCCAGTTCCTCAGTACGCAGAGTCTCGATTCCATGTGGCGGAACAGAAGGGACAGAGTCTCGAATTCAACCTCGCACCCCGGACATGTCATATTCAGGCCGGTCTGATCATTTGTATGACGGTGCTGGGATAGTGCTCTAGCGAAGAACGCGGAATTGAAGCGTGACTTGCATCGGTTTCCCTCGAGATGATACATCATCTGTGAATAAGAGATGCACCTGTGGTCGCACGCTGGGCACTGGATTGGATGCGGGTCATGCGAATAAAATGCTGGGAAGACGAACCGGGTTACTCATCAAGTTGAACGACGCGCGATCGAGGACTGACCTTCTTGAGATCTGTGGCAGTTTCGAATCCTATGTCGCACGCAAAACATAGGAATTCATCCCAATGCCATTTGGAGTTATGCACCGCTTGTTCGTTGGCGCTATTGAAGATGATTTGGCAGGGCATACAGTGAAGCGTCCAGCATGCTGTAAGCAAGAACATTTGTTCTTCCACCATTGCAAAAGTGCGCTCGATGTTCTGAGCCCCAACAGAGCCAGCACCAGGCACGTCTTCGCCATGGCCTGCAAATTGTAATTGCCGCGGAACCTGTCCAGCGAGTTCAGAAGAGTCGAGGCCGTTCAGGTGTTGGTACTGTTAAGCGCAGGGTTCGGCGCGCTGCAGGTGGTACGCTGCTTCAGGGCTACGCGATAGGCGGCCTGGTCTTCAACCTTGACACGTGAGTTTGCGCGCGTCATTGTACTCAGAAGACTTGGAATTACTGGAAAATTGGAACTTTTAAAAGATTCAAGAGGAAAGGCCCCGAGTTACTCGTAATCTTATTCTGGAATCACCAGAGCGTAAACGATACGGCGAGTAGGGAGACAACAAACGCGTCTTGTTTAGTGCGGGAGTTCCAGGGCTTCGTTGGGCTCCAAAAGCAATTTGTTCCAGGGCGCGTCATGATGGGGCGGGGGTACTACCCTCCCTGGAACCCCCGACCCCGCCCACGAACTTCAGGGGCAGCCATCAACGTTACTGACACAAATTCTGCCTGGTATCCAGACCTCCTGCAGAATATGTATCTGCCTGAACTCCCAGCTGTCCGTGTGCGTTCTACAGCTCTAGACAGTGTCCTGATGTTTATCATACAAGTGAATATCAAGCGCACGATGTGAACTAAAGTGGCGCACACAGCTACGGCAGCTCGGCACTACACCCTCAGTCTTACGCATTACTTTCTTAGAGTATAAGGCTGAGGTTCAAAGAAGGTCAAGAAATACAGACAAGATATCCTTCACGGAGAGTTATTGAACTTTGCCTAGTATTATAATTGTCCGACAGGCTTATTTGGAAGTTACATTGTAGATACTATTTCACTGAAACTGAGAGCTGAACTTGCCTAGCAAGAGGATTTAAAATAGCCCAAGAGCTTCATCTTAAGTGATGCAAAAACTTTAATCATCATCAGATAGGCTTTACAAGCCTATCTTAGGCAATTGTATCGGGCAGCTGGTATACTGCCCGGGCTGACTTTGATAAGAGTGTTATTTTGAGTTGATAGACCCCACAGATGATGGCTTACATCGCGCGCCTCACAAGATGCAAAAACTTATGTAGAGTTTAGTATGTTTGAGTAAACTTTAGACTAGTTTGGTCTAATACACTGATTGGCATCTATACATAATTCTGTGGCCGAGGCCAGAAACCCGTCCTGACCAGCGTTCATGATACAGCACTAGTAATTTGAGGACCTCATATTTGACCCCGATGAGCAGGTACTGGCCTAGAGATGAAGCATCATCGCGGAACGGGAGATCTATATCCTGTCACATCAGGGGTATTTCATGTTCCTTGGTAAATGTATGTCTGAATTTTCTCTTGCCTTGTCTTACTATGGAAATCTCTCAAATGTTCTTGTGGGCATTGGTTACCATCACTGCTTGTTTCTTCCTCGATACAGAGTCTCTTGGCTACCTGCCCTATGAGAATGCGAGTGTTCTGTCGTACACCGGGAAAACCAACGATCAACTATTGTACGAAGAGAGCATGAGCCGATCTGAAGATCCTAGCTCTACTAAATGCTTTGCTCTATATAGTCAAAAAGTGAGTGGTAGTCCGAGATACTCGCGTCGCAGCTTTCACTTTCGACATGCTGCAGCAGAGCGCTCAACTTGTCAAAATACGTTCCGCAGCTACCACAGTCAAGATCATCGTCGTGGTCATGATTCCGGCGCCCGTAGATCTCGTAGTAGTCCCAAACGCACTGTCTGATGGAATGTTCGTCAGACCCCGACTCGCAAGTGTTGGCCTCAAGGTGGAGCACCATGGCTGACTGGGAGATGAACATCCTTGAACATCCGAGGCATTCGACATTTTTCGCGGCGTGAGTCTTGCGGTGCTATGGAAGTATAAGTATGAGGTAAAAAGATAAGGCAGTAGTTGGGAAGACCAACGTTGATCAGGTTCGATCGCGAGCTGAAGAATCGGCCGCAGGTTCGGCATTTATCATGAACATCGACATCATGCTCCAGAAGGTCCTCCTCGTCGGAGAAGTACTCATGACATGGAATACAAGCATGGTGTTCTTCTATCAGATGATCCGTCAGGTCATCTTGTGAGTCGAAGTCGGGTTCATAATCGCAGTGAGTACAGATATAATGTCGTGGAGAGTTCTCAAGGTGCTGTTCCTTTGCACGTGCGTGCGGAAAGTGTCTTTCACAGCGCCAACAGTAGGTCTGAGAGTGTACGGCACGGATATGTTGGTCCAAGGAGTTCTCTAGGCGGAAGTGCCTGTCACAAGGAGGACAATAGGGCATTTTCGGCTTCGCTAGGCTGATGGCATCATCTGAAGGCTATGAAAAGGATCTGGAGAATAGGCCAGGTTTCGATCGTGTCTTGTTGTTGATAGAGAGACAGAGAAGTTGCTGTAGGTAAGTTGAGGCATGGGTTGATAAAAACGTGCGTGGTTAAATGTTTGTGTCTGAAAGGAATTTGGTTTAGGGACATATCAAACATTGGTCCGGCAAGGCCCACTGCAGGCTACTAGACTGCGTTTGTAAGCCAGCAAGCAATTTGTTGAGAGCTGTACCACCTCGTTGAATGTTTTTGTTCATATTCAGAACGGTTGTGTAACTGTCTGCCTAGCAACGTATCCATGTAAGCACACCAATAATATCAAGCTCTAACATCAAGTAAGCCACAAGGTGCCAGTTTACAGAGGAACATCCCCGGAGCATCGTCCCTTGACAAGACTAGCATCCTTCCCTGTCAGCCCATCGAAATACTTCAACAACGTATTCACAGGCACCATCTCCATCTTGCCCAGATCCGGATGTGAAGATTTCAAAGTCTTTCCACTCCAGAGAACCCTCACAAAGTACTCCTCCTTCTTCTTGTAAAGCTCAAAAACAACTTCACTTCCCATGCCAGGCCAGACCATTACATCGATCTGAAGAATACTCAACAGTCGACTGATAGAGCCATCGTGCGCAAAGTTGTGAAGATACAAAAGATCTCGCTTGCCTGCTATGACGGCGCGGAAGTGGCTTGCTAGCTCGGCAATCCAGACGCCCCATGAAGTAGCGGACGCAGCGAGTGATTCGGGTGCGTCACGGTACATCTGGGAGTATTCCCATTGGCCGAGACGATAGACCTTGTCAGCGAGTGTTTGATCAACGCAAGTGGTTGAGTTCTTCCCGTTGACTAGTTTGCAGGGGAAGGGCTTCTTGTGGCATTGGCGAGCCGAAAGGTTATCGTAGTAATGATCAAAACTCTCATGGAACCCAACGTCGTTAGATGGTACACCAGAGATGTCGTCGAGCGTCTTGTAAAGATCCTTTGTCCTATCAAGATGTTTTTGCCACTCTTTGTTAGAAGAAGACTTGATAGCGCTCGTCAACTGACTTCCAACACTGCACTTGTACTGCGGCTCAAGACTGTCCACGCCAGCTTGTTGGATAAGCAGTGGGACAGATTCGGTGGTCTGATACATGCCGTTGATGAACATACCAGCCACCTGACTCGTAATCTGGTTATTGGTAACTCTGAACATGACCTTACTACGCCAGTCTTCCTTGCGGCCTGGGATGAATTTCAAAAGATCGTGGTAGACCTCATACAGATCTTTTCCATGTACCCAAGAATCATCCAGACCTTCGGCGGTGATTTGAGGAAATTGACAGGATCCGATCCATCCGGACGGGATGAAGGGGTTGATTTCGGAAGTGAAGCCTTTCCAGTAGCCTTGGGCGTTAGGTTTGGGGGATTCGGTGAATTGGCGGCCGAAATAGTAGAGACCTTGGTTATCACAGTTCCATTGGTATGGCTCAACGGGAAAAGCGTTGGCTGCGTAGGGAGTACGCTTGTGATGTCTTTGAATCTACTATTAAGTTAGTAACTGTATCACAAATGTGACCCGGGGTATTCCACTTACCACTTCAACATATTGCAACTCATAATCCTTCGGAGCTTTCTTATACTCCCTCTTCCTCGCATGGGGCATGTTACACCAATTATACGTCCCATACTTATCATCCGGCGTATGCGACGACTCATAAATGAAGCCCCAAGTTCCCTTCCCATCCAAAACTTTATCGAGGTCATTAACCTGACTAGAGCTCGGAGGATACCACTTCATATTTGGGTCACTTCCCAGTACCGGCGCAGCCGCAAGGAGGCCAAGTAACGAGCTTTTCGGTAGGGACGCCATATCTGCGTACTGTCTCAAAACGAAGAAAGTACCGAAGGAAAAGACTGCAGTGAGAGCGAGCAGTCTCCCTCTGCAGCGGAACCAGGAGAGTGCCATTATATATACTTGATGAGGAAGGTAGTTTAGTTGATGGAGGACGGTTCTGAGCCTGGAAATTACGCGGTTTAATTGGAGCGCACGTGGAGACGCCATTGGCTGAGACAAGGTTATGAACTGGGTCTAGTGTTGCGGAGATGATGGGATGACATGTTTAGCCAGAACTGAGGACGGATCTTGAAACGTGAGTCGAGGATAGAATCTTGCGGTGTCTTCCACTTATGGACTTTTCCACTGATGGTTACTCCGACCGTTGGAGTGGCAGTTGTGATACGTTAATCTTGGCCGTTGGAAGCTTATCTTGAAGCTTTACTCATCGAGAACACCGACGCTTCCATATGACAATTGGATAGATGCTTCTCAGCACTAAGTTGTCATTTTAAGGATATGAAGGGAATTGGATAACGCTGGTAAGAAACGTGATGAGTTTGGTTACTATACAAGTATGTCAGTTAAGGCCACAATACTCGTCATTACCGTTAAGTTAAAATGAGACGCAAAGATTAAAGCCAGCGGGGATCGATTGTCACTCCAGGCCTGATTTAGGGGATTGGGGCGGCTATCCAGCGCTCGTCTTTAGTGGTGCTGCGCCACCGAAGGCCCCACGATCAACTCAAGCTCTGTACGGCCTGAAAGATCTTGGCAACAGTTGAGAAAAAGGCATAGCCAATGTCCAGTCTTCATTCGTCGTGACAATATTAAAAGAGACGGAGCAATACAGATGAAGAAAACGCGAAAGAATGAAATCATTTGTGAAACAACATTCATCTTCCTCATTGGCTTGAGCGAAGGAAGCACAATTACGTCACAGCTGAGGAGATCACCAGAGAGTAAGCCGTGACACTCAAGTCATCTCCAACCTTTACATTTTACTTGACAGCAACTTAATTACTTTTCTCTTTCTCGATAACCATGGATATACCATTTGAAGCTCGGATCCCCCGTGATCCC